TTAAAGAAAGCAGGTTTCTGCTTGTTCTTTGATGAAGAAGTGGCTACCAGAATAATGAAGTCCCCTTTAATCCAGTTGGTTTCATAATAAAGCTATTCTATTCTTGAATATCAATCCAATTTTTAATTAACTGAAAAAGAAAACAGTGTCTAACTTTTATTTTATTTACAAAGTAATATCACCTTCAGGAACCCAAGTTGATGTATCTGTGCCTCTGTGTGATAATTAGATGCACAGACTGCTCCCTGCCTCTGAAGTGAGGTCATGAAGGGATTACAGGGGTTCCCTGAACACAAACTGCCAAAACGTCCTCTACTGTTACGAGTGTTTACCGTCGGCATTATCTCATTGTTTAATGCACACCCACTGGTTGTTGACTGCATAGCTCTGATGTGCTGAGAACGCAACAGGAGCATTTTGTGAAGTTGTTTACATGGTGCCATGCCTCCAGTCGTGTTTCCTTTAGTGTATGTGCTGACAGGTGTTAGGAAAACCTTTCCTCAAATTTAAACTGAGCCTTCTTTTTAATATATTTCTAAAATATATGTAAATAAGCTCCCAGAGCCTGTGAGATGATTTGTTAGCCTTGCCGGACAAGTGATTGGTTCATGCCCAAACCAAGCTTTCTCCGCCCAGTGCAATATGTTGTTGACTGCTTGTGTCTTTTTATGACTTTTTTGCCTTTTAGAAAATTGGTAAATAAAGCAAGTATATTTTTGTTTTTATTTGTATGTATTTTTAATGTAACACAGGAAAAACTGAATAGAGATAAAAGATTATCAAAAGATGTTTTTTAAAGGGATTCTAGAAATTCTACCTTACAGACTCTTCTCACAAAGGACCCCCTCTTCCCTGCGCGGCAGCTTTGAGTTGGTCCCTCTTGTCTGAGGGTGGCCCTTCCCAGTGGACTTTCTAGGATATAAAGCTCATCCTGTAATCACTTGGGGGTGGGGTGGGGTGGGGCAGGGTGTTCTACTCAGCCCTGGAGCTCCTCTCTGCTCTGCATAACCACAGCCACCGACTTTGTTCCCTTGTGCCCTCCCAAGGTTGTCTGTCTTCCCTGGGCTGGCTGCTTGGATGCTGGCCACAGGACTGAGGATAGGACGGCAGGGCCAGGAAAGCCCACTGTCTCCATCAGAGATGATACAGGCAGCACAATACCATCTCCCCCAGCCCACCTGCCCATTCCTTCCTTCGTGATAATAAAGCCACACAGGGCCCGGTCAAAACATTAGAGGACCATGGCAGGTCAGAGTGAAGAGATGAGCGAATCGTGGATGCAGTCCCCAGCCTTCCAGAATCAATCTATAGAGAAGGTAAGGAAGGCTTAATTATTATTACAGAACATAATATAAAGCTCATCCTGTAATCAGGAGGCTTGACCCTGTCTCCTGACCTGACTGCCTACATCCACGTGGTGATGGAGGGAAGGGGACAAAAGGCTAAGTCCTCCCAGTGAATACAGAGGCCTCTGAAAACTGGCCTTAAATAGCCAGATATGGCAGTTTCACTGAAGTTCTGAGTGCCTTTGGGGACCCTTTGCATTTTTATTTGCCATATAACCCCAAGGACAACACCCCCCCTTTTTTACAAACTAAAAGGAGCTACTCAGAGCCCCCTGGGCTGATTGCCCACCAGGGGCCTAGACATCCTCAGGCTGACCACTGCTTTGTTCCCTGGGGATTTATGGCCTGCCACCTCTGTCGCTATCTGGTCCCCCTGTGGCCACCGAAGCCCTGCCCAGCCTCTGCTGGCCTCTGTTCCAGGATCTAAGGGGATCAAAGGGTATACTCAGGAAGTCTGTGCTCAGGCAACCTTTGAAGGTGGGATCAGTCCAAGGGACAAATGGCAGGAAATAGGTCTGCTCAGGGAGGTCATGTTAAGGAGGAAGTGAGGACTTGGTGGCCCCATGATGGAGTAGCCAGGCCAAACTAGCCAACTAGTGGCCCACGGAACGAAATTGAGGCTGACTTCAAAGATGGGGCCTTGAGCAACATCCAGTCCCATCAAAACTAACACACCTGTTCTATCCTTATGCTTCTCTCCTCCCCCTCTCCCCTGCCAAGGGCTCTTGGTTATATCCCAGTTGGGCATATCCCAGCACTTAATTTTTCCTTCCTTCAACTCTAAACAGCATTCTTCAACACCCCCACCCCCAACCCATGCAAAACAAGGCCCAGCCCTCTTTTCATCTCTTCCCTTCCCCTGACAACTGTCTCCTCTCCATTCTTTTTACAACCAACTTTATATTATGTCCTATAATCATAATTAAGCTTTCCTTGCCTTCTCTAGAGATTGATTCTAAATGCTGGAGCCCTATGAATAGTGTTGTGACTATGAAAGAACTGGCTACTGAGCCAAATAGTGTGCTAAGATTATTCGGGGACTGTTTTTTTCTTTTTAATTTTTTCTGGAGTTCCTTGTTGCCTTTCATTTTTTGCTTGCACCATTTGCCTTTATTTGTCCTCCTTGGCCCTCCACACTCAGTACCCAATCAGGTATTCGATTGATCTTTTCCCTGAGGCCTCCCCCAAGGTCCCGATCATCCTATTCCATTATGAGCTGACTCTCATGGAGAGCACTCTAAAACAAGTTTGGCCTTGTTCAAATAATATAATGGCCAATGACAGGGGTATGAATCATAATTTGAGAAATATCACTGAGTTTATTTTTCCATATCTCAGCTTCTCAAAGTAGTGAAAACTTAACTGTAGTTGTGTGTGTGTGTGTGTGTGTGTGTGTGTGTGTGTGTGCAGGACTGGGTTTCCTTTCCTGGAGTGATGTCTAAATGGCAAAGAAGAATAATGTTTAGGCCAGCTTGGGGTCCACCCCCTAACTCTGCCAGTGCCCCCAGTAGGTATGGAGGATGGAAGGTCAGTTGGGTCTCTGAGCAACCAGGAGAGGGCAGAAGGAAGTGAGCTGAGTTTTCTGGCTTATGGAGGAGACAACAGGGTGAGCAAAGTAAAGGAGTAGGTTCATACCTGGGTGAGTAGTGCTGGGCTGGGAAGTCTCAGGGGCCTGCTCACAAAGAAACAGCCACGTGGCAGCTCAGACACAGGTGAGAATCCGCAGAAGGGACTCCAGGTAGTAATAGAAGTCAGTGAGGTGACTCTGGGAACCTTCAAACCTCTCATTAAACTAGCCCTGCCTGTGAGGTCCCTCTGGTGGGGAGCCGAGTGAAACTGCCACCTGGAGGGCTGGCAGGTCTGCCTTAAGTGGCCGGGGATGGAGTGGTAATAGTTTCTATGGCCTAGTTCTACCAATCCAAAGTTCCTGGACATTCCCTTGCTCCTAGGAGACCAGGTAGATAGGGGGCCCTAGATCGGGCTGTATCCTTGACCAGGGATGGAGGTACAATCCTAATCCTAATCTCTGGTGAGTGGGAGAGCACTGGTTAAGGGTGCAGTGCTGCCGTGGAACAGCTGTGCTTCCACCAGGTGAATAAATAAGGAAGCTGAGGTCCGAACAGTGAGGAAATAGCCATAGAAGGGGCAGTCTGGAGAGTGTTCCTGGCGGAAGGCGGTGCCACAAGGCATTTTGGCATCTGGCTCTTCCTGGTGGTGAGAGCGTAGGCCGGTGGAGCAGGGGCCTGACAGGCGTCCCCAGGGCATTGTCCAAGAGCGAGGCTCCTCGGCCCACATATCCCACCCGCACGGAGGCCGGGCTGGCAGATGGGCGGCCCCCGCGGTGGGGGCGGCGGTCGTCTGGCGGACACAGGCGCGCCCTCGGGACAAAGCCGGCGGCGACAAAAGAGCGGCCAGCACCTGTCTCTCTTGGCGAGGCCGCCGCTTTTCTCCGCAGAAGCGGCTGCAGCTGCCAACTGTCACGGGCATCAAGTTACGGGGTCCAGACGGCGGCTCCTGCGAGCCTGGGTGGCGGGGCGGGAGGGGTGTGAGCGGCGGGGGGGGGGGGGGGCAGGGGGCAGGAGGGTAAAGGGAGCGGAAGTGGGGGGGGGGCACGGCGGGAGGGATGGAGGAGACTGGGGAGGAGGGCCAGGCAAAGGACCAGGGGTGGGTACCAGGGAGGGGGGAGGAATAATCAGAGGGTAAGGGGAGAGCTGGGATGGGGACCGGAAAAGGGGTTCTGCGCCCGGAGAAGGGTGGACGCGGAGCTAAGAGGGGAAAGGGAAGTCAAAGGGGAACCGAAGGGCATTAGGATTAGGAGATAGAGGCTCAAGGGGTGACGGGACGATGTCCAGCAGTGGGGGCTGCGGGGCAGAGGAGTGAAGGACGAGCGGGGGTGGAGAGAATGACCAGAGAAGGGGAGCCTGTATCTAATGTTCACTAGGATCCCCGCACAGGCGTAGGGCGGCGCAGGGGAGGGCGGTGTGCAGACACACAGGTCCGCAAGGAACGCCAGGGGGCCACGGCCCGCTCCCGCCCCCGCTGCCCTATGGGCTCCCACTTTCGGGGTTCTGCAGCCACCCCAGTCCAGACCCCGGGTGCCCTCCAGTCTGGAGACCACGGGCTTGACTGACTTTGCCCGCCACGTCCAGGACTCAACACTCAGCACTCAGTGTTGAGCGCTACTCCAGGGAGGCACTTGATAAACCCAAATGCGTTGCATAGGTGGAAGGATGGATGAGTTCCTGCTCGCACGCACAGCTGCCCGGGGGGCGTTGTTCAGGGTATTGAGGGAAACCAGCGCACCCCGAGCCTCCGCTCCGTGGGTCACCGCCCCCTGCGGTGCCTCCCCTGAGGGGGTCGCTCAGACGCGGAGCTGGGGGTCCCGCCCGCCCTACCGCCACGCCCCGCCAGCTGCCTACCGACCAGGACCGCGGGGCCGGACAAAGCGCACCGCTGTGATTGGCTGCGGTGCGCCTCCGGCCCGCGGCCCCAGCCCCACGCGGCCAATGGGCGTATAGACATGCAAATAAACTCTATAAAAGGGGCGGGGCCGCGTGCGGGCGGAAGAAGCGAGAGCGGGGAGGGCAGGGACTGTTGCCGGCGGTGCAGCTAAGGGCGCTGGGCGCGCCCGCGGCGCTTCGGGCAGTGCTGACTATGGCTTCGCCCCTGGCGCCCAGACGGGACCGTGCGGGCCGGGAGAATCAGGACCGCTGGGAGGCGCGGGGGGACCGCAAGGTGAGGGCTGGGCCCCAGGGCGGGCGGGGGCGGGGGCCGGCGCTGCGCCGCAGCTCAGTCTCCCGCTTCCCGCAGGCCCGGAAGCCGCTGGTGGAGAAGAAGCGGCGCGCGCGGATCAACGAGAGCCTGCGGGAGCTGCGGCAGCTGCTGGCCGGCCCGGAGGTGAGGCTGGCGGGCCGGTGCCCAGGGGCTGCTGAGCGGGCGGGCGGACGGGTGCCGGGCACTGCCTCGCCTCACCTCCCTTCCCCACCGGGCGCCCCCGCCGGCGCAGGTGCAGGCCAAGCTGGAGAACGCCGAGGTGCTGGAGCTGACGGTGCGGCGCGTGCAGGGAGTGCTGCGGGGCAGGGCTCGCGGTGAGTGGCGGCCGGGCGCGCGGGCTGGGGCTCACCGAGTTGAAGACTTCTCCGGCTGACGCCCCAGTGCAGTCGGGCGGCGAGAGCTCATCCCGGAGCCAGGCGTGCCCCAGCATCTTCGGGGTGAGCCCCGTCACCGCTTGACGGGTGGGTCTGGACACGGCAGTCCAGGCTCACCGGACCCGGCGCGGCTCTCTCCCTCCCATTCCCGGGTGCAGGGCTGGAGCAGCTACAGGCAGAAGCCAGCGAGCGTTTCGCTGCCGGCTACATCCAGTGCATGCATGAGGTGCACACGTTCGTATCCACGTGCCAGGCCATCGACGCCACCGTCGCCGCCCAGCTCCTGAACCACCTGCTTGAGTCCATGCCACTGCGCGAGGGCAGCAGCTTCCGGGATTTGCTCGGGGACGCTCTGGCCGGCTCCCCGGGAGACACTAGGCGAAGCAGCTGGCTCACAGGAGGGACCCTGGTGTCCCCGATACCCAGCCCCCCAGTCCCCAGCCCCCCAACCCCCGGGGACGACCTGTGCTCTGACCTAGAGGAGGCCCCAGAGGCCGAACTGAGCCGAGCATCTGCTGAGGGCCTGGACTTGGTGCCCGTGGCCTTGGGCAGCCTGACCTCTGCGGGCATAGTCCAGAGCATCTGGAGGCCTTGGTGACCATCACCAGCCTGCCAGTCCTGAGCCTGCAAAGGTGAGCCCAGCCTTCCCGCCTCTAGTTCCTCCTCCCTGGAGTCTAGACGTGGTGGGGCAGGGTCCTGATGCTGCCCACATCTGTCCTTTTCTAGTGGATGGCTTGTGGGGAAGTTCTGGATGACCAGCCCAGTCAGGCTTCTAGCCCTTTCCTTAAAAGAGTAATTTTTATGGACCCCACAGTTCCTATTCCCGGCTCCACCCCCACCTCAAGGAGGGAGCTAACTGCAGAGCTACCACCAGGGCTCCCTCTCCCTGGCTTTTGCCTGTCCAGCCTTCTTAGGAACTGCGTGGACCTTGGGGCAGGGGTGACCGGAGTGGTGCTGAGCCTCCTCAGTGCAGGGCACTAGTGTTGGGGCAGAAAGAGTCCTCAGGCCCTGACAGCCCTGACCTGAGTAGAACTTGAACTTGCCACTTGAGCCAGGGCACAGGGGAGGCAGGTGCAGAATTGCCCTTAGCTGTCAGAGAAGCAAGGCTTTCTGTATGTCTTGCACTTAGCAGACTTGAGTTTGTAAATTAGGTTGCTATAGAACATTCCAATTTACTAAATAAATGATTTTGGAGAGTTAGTTACTCTTCTGAAGTATCACTGAATGATGTAGTGTCATTAATGTGTCAAATATAAATACCAAACTAAGTAAGCTTTTCCTGTATCTAATGCTCACGTTTCGTCTGCAAAGTAAGCAGTGTCATGGCAGTGGAGATGGGATACTCTGTCTCACAGTGGACAGTGCTTCCCCCTCACTATTGCATGGCAGCTCCAGATGGGTTTCCCCTTAGACCTGACCTGCTCTCCCTGGGGTTTGTGCAGCCTGGAGATGGATGTCATTGGCATGGGGTTTGTCTCCAAAGTAACCAAGCAACAGGGAGACAGCCGATTCCCTGGACCATTCTCTGGTTCATGAGCTCCCAGGAATAAATTAATGCTTAGTTTCTAGCCACATGATTTGGAAGTTTCTTTTAAAAACCTGTGTTAGAATCCATGAGTGTGGTGTCAGTCTTCTTGTGTGAAGTTGTCACTTTTCTTGACTGAGAGCAAGCTTCCACTACTGCTGGTGACTTCCGTGACCCAGATCACGACTTGAAGTGAAAGCACCATGGCTGCAGGCAGCTTGGACTGGAGGTCAGACTGGGCTCAGGAGGTCAGAACCTTGGAAGGAGAATGAAAGGATGGGCAGCTGGGGTGTAGGGAGACTTCCCTCCTGGGCTGGGTCAGGACCTGCAGTTACCATGTGGTCAGTTAACAGCAGTCACTGCTGTAGGTAATCTAGTTGTATACCTGTTGCTCCTCTCTAGTTGTATACCTGTGCTTTGAGAACAACTTTCCCAAGAGCCCTCTGACCGAGGCCCCCAGCAGGTCCTGTCCTCCAGGGCATTTCACACTGGCTTCCTCAGGATTCAGTCTGAGGCCTCAGTCATTAGGTTCTAACCAGATGCAGCTTAATTTTAGTGACTGGGGATAAGTTGTTGAAGGGGTGGGTGAGGGAGGCAGGTCTTGAGACAGGGCTTGAGATAGAAATAGTATTCTTGGGATTATTTTAATTGCCCCACACCAATAGATATAGAATGTATCTGCGGGGACACATGAAGAGCAGATCCACCTGTGAGACCTCTTCCCTGTGGCTTCCAGAGGCCACTGTGGTGAACTTTGGTGGCCATAAATGGCTGCAAACTTGGTGGATTAAAGCACCACACATGTATTACCTTGCATTTCTATTGGTTAGAAGTCTGAGAAAGAATTCACTAGACTAAAATCAAGGCAGGGCTGCACTTTCTGGAGGATTGAGAGTGAATCCTGCTTCAGAGGCTACCTGCATTCCTGGGCTGGTGGCCCCTTCCTCCATCTTCAAAGCCAGTAATGTTGCATCTCTCTGACCCTTCTCCCATAGTCACAGCTCCTTCTGACCCTCCTGTTTTGAAGGTCTCTTGTGACTCTTGTGCTTAAATTGGGCAATCCAGGATATTCTATCTCAAGGTGCTTAATCCTTAATCAGATTTGCAAGGCCTCTTGCCGTGTAAGGAACACCTGCAGGTTCTGGGAATGAGGATCTTTGGGAATCCCTTATCCTGCGTTATCCACCTTTGTGTCTGCCCAGGCTTTCTGCCTTCCACCACGATGCACTGTGTCGCTGGGTTCCCTCCCCTCTGACCTCTCAGTGACTCTGCTCTCTTCACTGCATCATAAATCTTGCCTTGTACTGGATCATTCTTACCATCCTACAAACTAGCTGTAATACCTCCATCTGGAAGAAGGGGAGACAAAACCTCCCTGGCCCCCACACACCCTATTAGCTTCTGCCATGTTTCTCAGATCTAAAACAAAATTCCTTAAAAGCAACATCGATATTTACTGTCTTCACCTCCCCACCTCTCACTCCCCTCCCTTCCTCTCCAGTCTGGATGTTGTTTCCACCTCTCTACTGGAATTGCCCTTGCAAAGATCGCCAGAGACATCCATGTTTCCAAGTCCAGAGATCGTGTCTTTTAAGTTTCACCATACCCAACCTTCCAGTGAAGCACTCCTCGTAGTACCATTCCTTCTGTCCTGAAACTCTCCAACTCAAGAAAACTCCATCTGGCCCATTTGGTTTCCTCTGTGTACCCTCCATCCAAAGCCCATCTCCACCCTTGGCCTCCCTCCCACCTGTGTACTCAATGTCTCCACTTGGGTGTCTGGTGGGAATCACAAGCCAAGGGTGATTCTCACCCCTAAACGCACTGTCACTCTACTTGTTACCACTTCCAGGCACCCCACTGATTAGACAAAAAATATGGAAGTCACCCTTAATTTGTTTTTCTGTATCCCACTTCCGCCCAATCAGATCCATGAATCTAGTTCGAATTCCTATTTCCACGAGGGTCATTTTTCCCACCAACCGAACTCAGGAACCCTCATTTCATCCTTAATTCCACTTGGGCAGCAGACCTAACTCGCAATTTCCACGCGGAGCGCCTGGCCAAAGCCTTTAAGACTCCGCCTGCCCTCCCTTCTACAGCTCTGCTTTAGGCTCGGGCGTTTGCACGCATCCGGCCAGTCTCGTTCAGCGCGCGCACCAGCCCAGGGACAGCCAGGAGCCGGCCTTGCAGAAGCCAAAGGGATTTCGGAAAGGGAATGCGGAACTCCAGGGGCTGGGGATGTAGCGGAGTTTTGGCCACGCCCCTTTATATGGGCGCGCCCCCTCTGTCCCCTGCTTGCCCGAGGTGAGCCAAGGAGCCTCATGGAAGATGTAGTTCCCACCCTTCGACTTCCCTTTCTCCGAAGCCGATGCTGGCCAAGCCGGGACTGCGATTCCCAGAAACCTCCCTGGTCCGGAAGCCGCGCCCCCTCCGCCAAGGGCTGGGAGTCCTGCTGTCCCGCGGTGTCAACCGAGTTCAGTGATCACCCCTGCTCCCATCCCCACCTTGCTGGCCAGTGTTCTCTCCAACATCCCAGGCATCGGAAGAGGAAGCGATAAAGGCTGGTGCCCCGCAGCACCGATCCTCCGCAGCTGGAGCCGCTCATCTGCGCTGGCTCCAGCCCAGGGCCCCTGGGATGGGTTCCCTATCGGACCCAAGCCATCGACCGCGGGGTACAGGCGGCCTGCACATCGTGGTGGTAAAAGCTCCCCAGAATTCGAAAGCCAACAGCGGCGGATGTCGAGGAAGGAGAGGGTTATTTCAGGCAGAAAGGGGTGTGGAGGTTTTGAGGTGAACAGGCAAGAAGTATGTCTGGGAGGTGGGAAAAGCAGGAATCAAGAGGGTTGCCTAGGTTTTGGCAGGAGCCCCTGGGTGGATGATGATTTGAGAAAGTCTGGGGAGAACAGGATTTTGGGGAGAGAGCAGAAGTTGTAGTTGGCACATATTTAATTTGAGATGCCTATTAGACATCCAAGTGGGGATGCTGATAGTTCCAGAAGTCATGAAAGATATGCACAAATGTGTCATTAGAATACAGCTGTATTTAAGGCCAAACAAGTCATAAAGATCACTTTGGAAGAGAATAAATGGAGAAGGCTCTAGGAAAATATGCCCTGGGACACACCATTTAGATAAAAAAGAAACCAATAAATTGAATCTGGAAACAGTGAAGTGAAATCTGAAGGTGGAAGGGGAGGGGAGGAGGGAGGCAGGGAGCACCAGGCCTCTAGGGCTCTTTCTGCTGTGACAATAGCTGGGTCTATAATTCTGTGAAATGACTACAGATAACAAACTGGTAGAAGCAGGAGAGGGTTCCTTTTTGGAACACTGAGATTTTTTTTTTATTATTAAAATGTATTTTATTGATTTTTTAGAGAGGAAGGGAGAGGGATAGAGAGCTAGAAACACCAATGAGAGAGAAACATCGACCAGCTGCCTCCTGCACACCCCCTACTGGGGATGTGCCCACAACCAATGTATATGCCCTTGACTTGAATCTACCCTTCAGTCTGCAGGCCGACACTCTAGCCACTGAGCCAAACCGGTTTTGGCAGAACACTGAGATTTTCTAACTGCAAAGAATGGCTCCCCTGTTGAGTTAAACCTGGTAAAATGATTCCACCTTTACTGTCTCACCCACCTAACTCCTTTCTGTCCCTTACAGAGGCATGGCAGCCCCACGTCCAAGCCTTGTGCTCCACCCTTCACCCTAAATAAAGCCCCTGGTAGTGAATTTTAGAGACAGTACAGGCGGTTTTAGGGGAAAAGGGGATTCGTGGGAGAGGAATGCACATGTGAAGGAGAGAAGTAGCCCCAAGACACCAGAATGCTTATCTTATTTTCACAGAGGATAGAGAAATGTTACAAGAGGAAGACAAACTTTCACAGAAGATAAATGGGGAAGGGGTCCAATTAGAAGGGAGCATAAAGAACTTCCAGCCTTTAAAACCTTAGACAAGCTGAAACTGGAATGCGGACTGAAAGTTCCCAGGTTCGATTCCGGTCAAGGGCATGTACCTTGGTTGCGGGCACATCCCCAGTAGGGTGTGTGCAAGAGGCAGATGATTGATGATTCTCTCTCATCAATGTTTCTAACTCTCTTTCTATCCCTCTCTCTTCCTCTTTGTGAAATAATCAATAAAATATATTTTATTATTAAAAAAAAAAAAGAACCTTAGACAAAGGGGCTTAGTTGGTTACCCCCTCAAAAACCCCTCTCTATGTGGGAATGGTATTTGCTTCCAATAAATTTCTACACTTTTACTAACAAGTTCTTTTAGTCTGAGAATTTTATTCTTTAAACTTCATGAGACAAGAACCCACAAGGAGGAGAGTCTGGGTCCTGAACTCCACATATCATAGGAGGTTCTGGGGTGTCCAGCCCAAGTGCCCTCAGAGTCGACAAGTTTCTTTGCATTCCTGCAAACACACACACATCCCATGTATTACAAGGTTTTTCCATTCCTAATAATAGACTTTTTACTCCAGTGCTAATGGGATCTCACCTGAAGACTCCAGGGGAATCCCCTGCAGATCTAAGAAAGGCAGCATTACTTTCCTTACAAGCTGTGAGAGCTTAAATAAAACTAACATTTACAAAACACCTAACTAGTGTCTGGCCCCAAACTGGCACTGACCACGAAAGGACGTCCAGCTCTTCGAAAGTCATAGAAGTTTAATTTGAGCCAACTTTTGAGGACATGCCCAGAAGTGAAATCTTACAGGATTGAGATAATGCTCTGGGTAATGGCAGTTTTGCCGTTTGTTGGAGGTAGCATAACTGGAGCTATGTGAAATCCATTGGTGGTAGATTAAGGAAGCAGGAGAAAGCAAAGCGGGGTAATATCTGAGAAAAAAGTAAAATGGAGAGACACTTCATTTACCTTAGTGGGTTCAGCATAGTTAACAATCAACATTTTCAGCACATAGAGATGGTAATCTCTAGTGGGAGACTGTGCCCTGAGGAAAAGGGAAAAGGGATTACCCAGGTATTCCGTAGGTATATTATCATTATCATAGATGCAGAAAGACACAGACAGGCTCAGTTAAGGTAAAGATTGATCTTTGTCCCACCTAGAAAGTTTTGCATTCAGACCATCCCATGCAGTTACTTCAGGTCTGAGTGTATAAGGCCCACCATGCAGTTGCCCCCTGAGCTGTCAGGTTTAGTATGCAGCCTCTTTTCGTCCACACTGAGCTTAGAATAGAAAGGTCCGTGTGTGCCAGGTCATCCCTGGTCACAGGCTGCTTTTCTGGAACATCACATCCTTCCGTCTCGCTCCCCCACACCTGCCAAAAGGGTGTAGGCAGAGCAGGGCTGCCTCCTGTCCATCTGGCGTCTTAATTGGTTTCAGCCCTAACGCCCAGGGCCGCTCAATGAGGCCTCGGTTTCTCGAGCTCTACAATGAATGATCTAGGCACGGACATCCGCCCCCCAGTGGGGGTGTGCGGGCGACGGGGCAGACACCTGTGAAAAGCTCCATGGAGCCTTCCCAGACATCAGGGCTCACTATAGTTGCCCTTGAACTTAGACATTCCGATCTGGACAGGCCTTCTTGGAACGGATGCCCGGGCTACAGCTCAGCAGAAGAGGCCAGGACTCCCCAGGAAACATGGCGGCCTCAGCATCCGGTCCGCGGTCCTGGAGTCCAGTGCGCGTGCGCTCGGCCCCGCCCCCTCGCCACCCTGCTTCGCCCGCGCATAGGATTCTGGGGCGGCCAAGCCACGTCGCGCGCCAATTGGTGGCGTTCCGGGCCCGCCCTCGGGTGACTGACAGCGCCCTGACCGCCACCGCCCAGCAGCCGCTGTTGCCATCACCGAGGGTGCAGGCCGCCGCCGCCGCCGCCGCTCACGGGCTGCGTGTCCGCCTCCGCCGATCAGCTTCTGCCATGGACCTGTTCGGAGACCTGCCGGAGCCCGAGCGCTCGCCGGCTGCCGGTGAGTAAGGGGCTGCCCTGCCGGCGAGGAGAAGGGGGCAGGCGGGCGGGCTGGTGGCGGCCTGGAGGCCGCGGCGCCTGAGGTGGTCTGCGGGAGGAGAGGGCGGGCAAGCGCGCCCGCCTCCGGCCCGGCCCCAGCCCCGGCGCGCGCACTGCAGCTCCGGAGCCCCGGAGCGCTCCGCCATGTTCGCTGCGTAGGAAGAAAGGGCTCTCACTGGAGACGCGGGCCGGGGACAGCGCCGGCCCCCGCGGCCTTTGTGTGCGGCCCCCACGCGCCGGGTAGCTCCGCGTCAGCCCGGCGCAGAGTCCCTCCCTCCGCCTTCGCACGTGGAGCGGTGTCGGGCCCTCTAGCCCGCAGCCCTCCCGCCTGGGTCTGGATTGCTTTTTCCTGGAGCAACGTTTTTTTCCGCGCGCGCGTGTACAAGTTCAGGCTTTTGTTTTGGTGTGTTTTGTTTTGTTTTTTACCCCAGAGATAAAAGGAATCGCCAGCGTTATCGTTCGTGTTTTTGAATCATCTTCTGTGCTTCTCTGATTTTCCGGTTGATAGTAGTTTCCCGGGTCACGGGAAGTCTCCCTCTCCCCAGAGTCAGAAGCACCAGCCCAGGTCCATCCCCATCGGCCCGGCTCTGACAACGGGGGGGTGAGTTCCTGCAGGCTGGGGTTTGAGCCCCACGCATTAGCCTAAGGAGACCAGCGCCTTTGTTATTGCTGTGTGTCCGGGTTTTAATGGGATAAATCCTGCTGACGTTTCCATGCTGCATTTGCAGGTGAGACCTTAATTTCCCAAACCCGACTTGTTGGCAGAAAACCTGGAACACTTGAAAAACACATATAGATTTCCAGGCTCATCCCCACTAAATCGGAGAGTCTGGGGCTGGGCCGTGATTCTGTTAATTAGCCCCCAGGGGATTTTGCCGAGCGTGCTCACCAGGAGGGTTCAGAACTGCTACTGCAGGGGCCACAAGAGTGAATAAGAGCCAGCCTTGGCTTTCTAAGAGCTTAGTTCTGAACACAAGTGATTGCAATGATAACTGGCAGAAGTTAAGGACCGTGGGAACTGCTGAGTGTTGGAGGAGAGGGTAAAAAGGAAAGAAAGCGGTGCTGGAATTGGTTGGGTCTCTGTTAGTAAAGATGGGTAGACTTGTGATTTGCAGAGATTCCAGGTTGGCTACAATATACGCAAAGGGAGAATATTAGCTCTCAGCCGACCACTGTGGAGGAGGACTGCAACCTGGGGCACTGGAACGGGGAGGGTGGCGGGGTGTGTTCTGTCCTTCTCGTGGCCTGGATGCTGGCTGTCACGTGGGAACAGCCTGGCCAGTCTCTGCCATTCCCTGTAATGGCTGGTACAGAGCATTTAAGTTCTCAACTTGGCCATTCGTTTTCTAAATTGTTCTAGTTGAGCATAAACACTGTGGCTTTGTGTATGCACTTCTTTTTACTTTGTTGTTGGAGTATAACTTGTATCTGACTATTTTTTGGGATGTGCCTATAAGCTTTTCGTTAAAAAAAAAAAAAAAAATCATAGCTTTTTACCAGCAATCAATTTGGGCCTGCTTAGAGAAAGGCATCCTTGAGATGATACAACCACCAAACAACATTTAAAAAAAAATAATAATAATTTTTTCAATTATAGTTGATAAACAATATTATATTAGTTTCCAGGTGTACAACATAGTGATCAGACATTTAAATAACTTGAAAATGATCCCCCCATAGGTTTAGTGCCCATCTGGCACAATGCATAGCATAATTATTACAAAATTATTGACTATACTAGAGACCTGGTACATGAAATTTGTGCAGAGGGAGGGTCCCTAGGCCTGTCGGGCAATCAGGGCCTTCTGGCTACTCGCAGGTGTCTTCCTTCATTCCATGACGCCCCCTGGTGGTCATTGCATGTCATAGTGAGTGATTGAAATTCTGGTCTCCTGGTCAAACCTCCAAAGGGACACTTTGCATGTTAGCCTTTTATTTCTATAGTAGAAGCCTGATGCACAAAGATTTGTGCAAGAATGGGCCTTCCTTTTCCCGGCTGCCGTCACTGCCTTTTCGTTCTGGCCTGGAGCTGCCTCTTTTCACTCCAGTCCTGCCATCCCATGCTGCCAAGAGGCCCTATGTGTCTGGGGCAAGAGGAACTCCTGCATCCTCGCCATGGCGACGACGCAAGCATCCCGCCCTGTCCCTGGCCACTCAGTGCCTAAGCATGCAAATTAATCAACCCACCTTTGTTGAGTTAATTTGCATATTCACTCCTGATTGGCTGGTGGGAATCGCGAAGGTACGGTCAGTTTACATCTTTCTCTTTTATCAGTGTAGACTAGGGACCCAGTGCACAAATTTGTGCACCTTGAAAGAAACTGTGGGCTGTGAGTCTGTGGTGGCACAGGGGTGGGTCTTGGCCCATCCTCTGTGCTTCTAGCTGTGGCCCCCAGTCCTGCTGGCTCCCATAGGCTGACAGCGCCCCTCAGGAGCAGGGGAAGGTGGAGAAGCCATTAGGGGTGATCAGGGCCAGCAACGTGTTTGAGTGGGGCTGGCAACAGCAATGGGTGCAAGCAGTGGCTCTAGCACTGGCAGTGGGTGCAAGTGCCAGGCAGGGCTGTGGCATGTGGGAGCAAAGAATTTTTAATAACCACTGAGGCTTGCTCCAATGACAGCAACCAGTGCCTCACCTTAGTCTGGCAACCTTGCTCACCACCATACCATGCAGCCAGTTGGTTGTTCGGTTGTTCCTCCATTCGGTCTATTTGCATGTTAGGAATATATATATATATATATATATATATATTATACACACACACACCACACTCTCTCTAGAGGCCCGGTGCACGAAGTTCGTGCACAGGAGTGGTGTGTCCTTCAGCCCAGCCTGCATCCTCTCCATTCTGGGATCCTTCTCACAATCCAGGATTGCTGGCTCCCAACTGCTTGTCTGCCTGCCTTCCTGATTGCCTCTAACAGCTTCTGCCTGCCAGCTTGATCACCCCCTAACCACTCTCCTGCCAGCCTGATTGATGCCTAACTGCTCCCCTGCCAGTCCAATTGCCCCTAACTGCTCTCCCCTACAGGCCTGCATGCCCCCAACTGGGGATGAAGCTTGCACCCCACACACGGGCATGCACCCTGACTGGAAATCTAATCATGACCTCCTGGTTCATAGGCTGATGCTCAGCCACTGAACTATGTCGGCTGGGCTGTTTTTATTGATTTGAGAGAGAGAGGAAGATAGAGAGAAACTTTAATGTTTGGGATAGAGCCTGCCTGGCCATGTGCCCTGACTGGTTATCAAACTGGTGACATTTTGGTGCATGAAACAATCGATACTCTACCAGCTGACCACACTGGCTTACAAGTTGTTAGCCTGTGACAAGCTAAAGTGGGGAGGAGGGCATCTCCAACTCTGGCTGAGGTGCCAGAGGACTGCATGGTATTCAAAACCCCCCTTCCCTGGAATGGATTAGTGAAGTACCCCTGCCTTCCAGAAGGGCACTGACATTCACTGGTCCTGCTTGGCTGTATGTATTTTTTAAAACAGCTTTATAAACAAAGAAGGTGTGTATGTTTGTAGATGATGGGAAGCTGAGAGGGGTAAGTACTAAAAGTGAGTGACAGAATTGGGATTACAGTTCTCTTGTCAGGCAGTTAGTTAAACCAACAAGGTGCCATGTTTTGTTTGAGAAAGTGTAGTATTGACTGTTAAAATTAAAAATGTAATGAACAGAGTAAGTGAACAGAAAATGTTGTTATCATAAAGTGGATGGAAGGATGGGCTGAACTGCACTATAGCGACCCTCACACGTGGTGTGTGGGATCACACATTTCTGAGCTATTCCAGGAAACAAGAATTGTTTAGGACAGGTGATCTGACTAGTTTCACATCCCAATTCTGTTTTTATTAACTGCTTTCTGTGGCTGTTCCTGCTTCTGTCAGGTAGGAGAGCACTACCTCTACTGGGCTTAGCACAGGGTGCAGCACGTGCTCAGTAGATGTAGTGTGTAAGCTGTAAACTTTTAACAGCTATTTAAAAGGGGAAAACATGACTCTTAACTGGATTTTGTGGAAACATTAAGAGTCCAATTGGAGGAAATATCACACTGCTCAGATACATCAACTGTATTTTTTTTAGCTCTATGATTTTTGTTTTAAACATCACACCTTAAGCTTCTTAATTTTTTATGGCTTGAAAAAAAAATGTAGAAAGAACACATCATAGGCATACCTTGGAGAAACCAGACCATCTGGATAAAGTGAATCAGTAATCTTTTTGCAGGTGGAGGGTCTTGCCTTCATTTGGTAAAAAAGGTAACATCTGTGAAGCCCAATGAAGGGGAGCACAGTAAAGCAAGGTGTGCTTATAAATTTTATCAGATTTTGTGCTAAATTAGTATTTTTTCTCCCCAGTATTTATAGATTTGATTGCTGAATCAGATTTACATACACACAGTTGGAACAGTACAGAGGTCAGGGGCACCAATCTCCCACACAATGAAATTTCTGTAACTACATATATGACTACAGCCTGCTCTCTGTGTGTATGGACTCCCAACTGCAGAGGTGACTCTTGACCTGTTAACTAAAAATATCTGTGTGTAAGGGGACATGCACAGTTCAAACGTATGTTGTGTGTATAGTTTACCAAAAGAGGAAGTATGTTTGTTGATATAAGACAGAAATAACTTCTCAGCTATATCATACTTCTAAAAGTGCTGACTTGATGTTTTTAAAATTGACAGCAGGTGCTAGCACTGGGCAGGACTGTAGCATGGGAGCAAAGAATTTTCAGTAACCACCAGAGGCTCATCCCAATGACAGTGACCAGTAGTGCCCTGCCTTGGTCTGGTGCCCCTACTCACCACGATCCCACGATGGCCAATGCCAGTCATCTTCCGCATACGCCCCCTGGGGGTCAGCGCAAGTCATAGCGACTATTTGTTCCAGTTGTTCCACTGTTCTGTCTATTTGTATAATGGCCTTTTATTATATAGGACAGTGGTCGGCCAACTCATTAGTCAACAGATCCAAATATCAACAGTACAACGATTAAAATTTCTTTTGAGAGCCAAATTTTTTAAAACTTAAACTTCTTCTAACACCACTTCTTCAAAATAGATTTGCCCAGCCCAGGCCGTGGTATTTTGTGGAAGAGCCACACTCAAAGGGCCAAAGAGCCACATGTGGCTCATGAGCTGCAATTTGCCAACCATGGATATAGGAAAGCAACCTTTGGCATCTAAGACCTCTGGATTTATTTATTTTAAAAATCCAGGTGCAAAGTATTACTAAGTTTGATCCTTTTATTGATGCAGGAGATAGTCCAGCAATTTTACAGAGCCTTGGGATTATTTTTATGGGATTGTTGTAAGGTTAAATGAGATGGTCCTTTAACCTTGCAGTAGTTCCTGGAACAGTGCCTATGTGTGGAGGTAAGGTAGCACCTTACCCAGAGCATGGATTAGGAAAAACAGGCTTTAGTCCTCACTCCTCACTGGCTCTTTTAGGGCAGTTATTTATCTTAAATGACTTCACCATCAGTAGGTAACAATAGTATCTAAGAGTATTACAAGAATTAAATATTAAAATATGAAGAGCACTACAACAGTGCCTGGAAGGCAGTAAATGTTAATTATTTTTATAAGTTATTCTCAGTTGTGGCCAACAAAAATGTGAGGTAATCTCATGTTTTTAATGAAATTATAATACCACTCAGTATTCCAGAGTGAGAAAGATGGGGAGAGGAGAGGCTCAATTCATTAGCAGTAGGAGATAGGCCGTCTCTGGAGTGATGACTAGTCCAGCGATTTTCAACCTTTTTCATGTAATGGCACACATAAACTTGTTACCAAAATTCTGTGGTATACCAAAAATGTTTTTTACCAATCTGAACCAAAAATAGGTAGAATTTTGACTCATTCATACTGAACAACTATTGTGTTGGCTGTCATTTTTTATTTGACAATCTAAGGAAAAAGAGATCAGTGCCTCTAAGTAGTCAGGTATTGCATGCTTTAAAAGTTCTTGCGGTGCACATATTGAATACTGGTGTAACCAAAGAAAAAGAGTCAGGCTAATTCTCAAGCTGGAAACTCTTGTGAGGAATTAATTCTTGCAAGACTGAAAATGTGTTACCTTGGTAAAAGAGAACTTCCTGCATTGGACACGGCAGTGAAAAGACCTGATTTAGCTGAGAAGCTTAATTCAGAACTTAATATCTGACTTGACACAGGTGGAAGGAAGGCTTTGCTGTTTTTCAGGTTGGCCTTCTCCTGTACTCTCCTCGTCCTTGTGAGTAAGCGGTTGTTTACACTAAATGCCTTTTAATAGCCTTCTAATGCTGCTTTTGGTTACTTCCCAGAATCTTTATATTGCTTTTGAGAAAAATTAAAATATTTGCAACTATTTAATATGTTAAGGGTAATACTGAGGAATTAGGATATATTTTAATTAGTAGTTATTTTCCATTTGAGTTAGTTGTATAAAGCAGAAGAGTTATTTTTTATTAAGTCAGGAATTTATCAGGTATTTAAAGTATTTCTGACTTAAAGACTCCTGAAGAAATTTCCTACCTTGGAGTTTATAAATTTTAATTAAAATTTTTGTTTTTAAAAGAATAAAATTGTACCCCGTTCATTTCTATATAGAAGCAAAAAGGCAGTATGGATGTTTTGGATTTTCAGTTAGCACATTTCTGTCCTAGAACTCTGAGCAATAGGACAGAGCCAGCCGAGACCGGTTTGGCTCAATGGATAGAGCGTCAGCTTGGGGACTGCAGGGTCCCGGGTTCGATTCTGGTCAAGGGCATGTACCTGAGTTGCGGGCATATCCCCAGTAGGGGGTGTGCAAGAGGCAATTGATCGATGACTCTCTCTCATCGATGTTTCTAACTATCTCACTTCCTCTCTGTACAAAATCAATAAAATATATATATATATAAAAAAATAGGACAGAGCCAATTTGAGAGAAAGCTGGAAAAGAAAGAATTGTATGTAGTTAAATTTTGTGTGGAAAGGGAAAATTGAGTATAAAACATTTAAAACAAGTACTCTGTTGTGTTATCATTCAGATCTTTAAATTTAAAATTTTGCCTGGCTCTCTCCTGAGTTTATCTTGGAGTTTTTGAAATTTCTTATTTTTTCTATGTATTTGTATTGAATTGGGTACTAGGCTGGAGGCACCGAGTTAAGGTATGGGGTTCCCTCAGCCTCTTATCTCTGTGCGTTGAGATTTTACTTTGTGGTTAATTCAGAATATTATTAAAATGGGCATTTTAAAAAATATATATTTTATTGATTTTGTACAGAGAGGAAGAGAGAGAGATAGGGAGCCAGAAACATCAATGAGAGAGGGTCATCCATCAGCTGCCTCTTGCACACCCCCTACTGGGTAAATGCCCGCAACCAAGGTACATGCCCTTGACCGGAATCGAACCCGGAACCCTTCAGTCCCCAAGCCGATGCTTTATCCATTTAGTCATACCGGTTTCGGCTGAAATGGGCATTTTTGGCGGATTCACAGCGAGAAGCGGGGAGGTCTACGTGCGTGCGCACGTGGCACTCTCTGCCCGCGGTTCGGGTACTTTCCCCTAGGCGCAAATGAGGAACCAGGTCCTCTGTCTGTAGCCTAGGAAACAGGCCTTCAGCGCGAACTACTGAAATGGGCATTTTTAAGACCTATAGATTTTTGGAGAATCTCTCTATCGCTTAATTAATTTTTTTTGGGGGGGTGGGAGAGGTTAATTCTCGCCTGAGAATATTTTTCCACTGATTTTTAGGGAGAATGGAAAAGAGAGGGAAAGACAGAGAGAAAAACATTGATTGATTGCCTCCTGCATGATCCCTGATCAGGGCCGGGGCAGGGAGGAGCCTGCAACCAAGGTACATACCCTTGACTATAATTGAACTGAGACCCTTTGGTCCGCAGGCTGAGACTTTATCCACTGAGATAAACCTGTTAGGACACTGAATTTATATCTTGAGGTATACATTATTTTCTTACTCTAAAATCAGTTTTTGTCTTCCCAGGGTTGATTTGGAAATTTTTATTTTTAAATGTTGATTACTGGCCAACTGGTGTGGGTCAGTGGTTGAGCATCAACCTATGAACTAGGAAGTCATGGTTTATGGTTTGATCCCCAGTAGGAGACATGCAGGAGGCTCCTGATCTGTGATTCTCTTTCATCATCACTGTTTCTGTCTCTCTTTCTCTTCCCTTCCTCACTGAAATTAATCAAAATGTGTATGTTTGTTTTTTAATGTTGGTTGCTTTCAGTCATGAAATTATGGTATCAAGAAAAATGTTTTTCTTAAAATACTCATTGGCCCTTAAAATGCCTGTTGGGTCATTTTTCATTGCTTTTGTTGTCGTTGATTGTAACTGTTGAAACAAGTATCCATATTAAATAGCAGTGAAGAAAATATTTTAAAAATAATTTTTTTTTTCCCCATGGGAGGAGAAAATTTGAACTTAGTAGCAAACCTATGTCAAAGTCCCCCTCTTTGAAAAGCCATCCTGGCCAATGCCCAAGCGCAGTCTAAGCAGGTGTTCCGTGTCCTAGGGAAAGAAGCTCAGAAAGGATCTCTGCTCTTTGACGACCTCCCTCCGGCCAGCAGTACTGACTCAGGTACAGTCTTCAGGCTCTCCCAGGTGTGTGTCAACGTGTCATCCTGGGATTGTAGTTGTCTCAATCTTTTTCCCTTTCCCCCATTTTCAACACACAGATGTTTTAGGTGTTGGACTGTCTTAAGTTTTGAATCCATGGCATCAGGTAAGGCAGAAAAATCCACTAGTCGCTAGCTATGAGAAACTGCGTGAAATGTTGAGCAGTTTTCTCTGGTTCATTTGAGACTATTGTAGCTGAAATAAGATGTAACTCCTTAAGGCAGGTTTCTGTTTCCTTTCAATGATAGGACTTTAAAAGACATTATTTACCGCACTATGAGTTGCCACTGGATTGACACAGAGTTTTGAGTTTATGTCAGTGACCTGCATAGGCGTCCTGGTGGGATGGATTCTGACACTTAAGCCTTACCCAGGTTTTGTGGGCTCACTGAGTGTCCTGCTGTGTTTCAGGACCAGGCGGACCTTTGCTTTTTGATGACCTCCCACCAGCCAGCAGTGGCGAGTCAGGTAAGTAGTAGGGAAAAATGCAATGTGCTAGTGGAAATAATACATATTTTACTCTTACGTAAAGTTTATTTATAGCTCTTAACAAAGTTTAGGATGGCATTAAATTATAGTATAGCATAAGATTTATTCACCATTAAGTAGGCATCATCAGATGGAAGGAAAAAGATTAGCTAGATATATAACATCACTTTTTGGTGATTATTTTTTTCTTCCTTTGAATTCAGGCTCTTTGACTAAAAATTAAGAGTTTAGTAATTTACTTTGCACTTTGTTATTAATGTTTTTAATTTAAAAATCTCTACCTGTCATTCTGGTTTGCCTTATGTTCCTGACCCAAATGTATCCAGCGAAAGTATCTGAAGATATGATAGAGTTAAAATATTTAGTGTCACCTGGCCGGCGTGGCTCAGTAGTTGAGTGTCAACTTATGAACCAGGAGGTCATGGTTGGATTCCCTTTGAGGCAGCATGCCCTGATTTCATTTTCAGTCCCCGGTGTGGGGCGTGCCAGAGGCAATCCGAGATTCTCTCTCATCATTGATGTTTCTCTCTCCCTCTTCCTTCCTCTCTGAAATAAGTGTGTGTGTGTGTGTGTGTGTGTGTGTGTGTGTATTTAGTGTCCCTGAACCAATAATACTGATACATAGGTCTCTTGTTTTCTGCCACTTATACTAAAAAGAATTTTGATTTAAGAAAATGAGTTCTGGCCTGAGGGCATGACTCAATGGTTGAGCTTCGACGTAGTATGAACCAAGAGCACCTACAACCTATGAATCAATTCCCGGTCAGGGTACATGATGGGTTGTAGACTCGACCCCCAGTGTGGAGTGTGCAAGAGGCTGCTGATCAGCATTCTCATCATTGATGTTCTCTCTCTATTTCCCTTTCCCTTCCTTGCTGAAATCAATAAAAGTATATTTTTAAAAAGAAGAAGAAAAAATGAGGTCTGAATGACATTGGTTTAGTGTTTGGTACAGACCCTGGGCAGGAATTGTCTTGAAATTCAAGACCTAAGTTAATTATTTTCCAGTCAATTCATATGTTTTCAAGATTCTGTTTATTGATTTAATTTTATTTTTGTCAAGCCTGTTAACGCTGGCTCTACCTCTTCTGTAAATATTTCCCTTGTTTTCCTGTCCCAATTTAGTGGCAGGTAAGAATAGAGTGGATTCCTCTAGGTTACCATAATGAGGAATCTGTTACTATGTCTCACTGAGAACTTCTAACATGGAATTCCCCTGGGGAAGGGAAGGTATAGTGGCCTGGAAACAATTGGGAATGCAGTCTTTTTCAAATGCAATTAATTGTCTTCTGGTATGAGGACCTTCTGTCTGTTGTCAAAAAAAACAAAAAACCAACACTTGCTTTTCAAGTGTCTCTCTCTCTCTCTCTCTCTCTCTCTCTCTCTCTCTCTCTCTCTTTTGTACAAAAGCAAATAAGAATTTATTAACTGCAGCAAAAACATACTTTAGGGCAGTAAAACAAAGAAGGGACTAGAAGAAGCAACAGGAGAGCCTGGGCTAGGCTGCTTTGGCTCACTGGGAAGTCAGAGATAAGGAGAGGAAGGGGGTCCTGGAGACATTCAGGGAGTTAGCCTGAGACCAGCTGCTGCTGCCCATTGCTCCCCTGTTGCAAGTCTCATAGGATCCCTTAGAGGTTAGGGGATACATGCTGGGGGGGTGGGGGAGAGAAAGGGGATGGCATAAGTGTGCTCCCTGGAAGCCAAGTACACTTCTCTTTTTGTATTATTAATTCATTACCTTAAAGTCATTGGAATTAGTCTAGAAAATATGGATTAAGTTATTATAGTTTCTTTATTTAGAAAAAATATCATAATCATCTTACATATAGCATAAAAAATTATAGCATACTCATACAACTTAGCCTAATAAAGATTTCCCCAATCAAGATGGTACTTTTAATTATAATGAATGTTGTGTGCAAGCAGGGCTCTTTTTTAAAAAAAATATATATATATTTTATTGATTTTGTACAGATAGGAAGGGGGAGAGAGAGTTAGAAACATCGATAAGAGAGATTCATCGATCAGCTGCCTCCCGCACACCCCCCACTGGGGATATGCCCGCAACCAAGGTACATGCCGTTGACCAGAATTGAACCTGGGACCCTTCAGTCCCCAAGCCGACGCTCTATCCATTGAGCCAAACCGGTTTCGGCCAAGCAGGGCTCTTAAACAGATTTAATAAAACTAAGGAAGCCGAAACCAGTTTGGCTCAGTGGTAGAGCGTCGGACTGAAAGGTCTGCGGACTGAAAGGTCCCAGGTTCGATTCCGGTCAGGGGCATGTACGTTGGTTGCGGGCACATCCCCGGTAGGGGGTGTGCAAGAGGCAGCTGGTCGATATTTCTCTCTCTTCGACGTTTCTAGCTCTCTATCTCTCTCCCTTCCTCTTTATAAAAAAATCAATAAAATATATTAAAAAATTAAAAAAAACCATTAAAAAATAAATAAATAAAACTAAGGAGGATTCAGCATAGCTATGGCTTAGTTGACCATAGGGCAAAAGACAGTAAATTGGTAACAATTGAGAAGATTTCAACATTACTCTTAACAAGTTTTGATTTTTTTTTTTTTTTGTATATAGAACCCAATCTTGCATCCAGTATTTTGGATTTCTTTTTTTTTTTTTTCAAATATATATTTTTATTTCAGAGAGGAAAGGAGAGGGAGAGAGATAAGACAAATCAGCAATGAGGGAGAATTGTTGATCAGCTGCCTCCTGCACACCCCACACTGGGGATCAATTCTGCAACCTGGGCATATGCCCTGACTAGGAATTGAACCATGACCTCCTGGTTCATAGGTTGACATTGAACCACTGAGCCACGCCAGCTAGGCTATTTTGGATTTTTTGAAAAGATATTCTTCTCAAGCAAGCAAAAAACATTTACAAAAATTAATTACATTCTAAGAAATAAAGTAAATTCCAAGAAGATAGACCACATTCTCTGACTTCTGTTAGAACTCAAAAACAAAGCTTTAAAATAATCTGTTTTCCAATTTGAAAGCAAGAAAGATTCTTTTACATACACATTGGGAAAAAGGAACACAAGTAGTAAGTGACAGGAGACTAATAAAGAGACTGATGGGAGATTCTATTGGAAACACCCAGGAAATTTTTTGTTAATTTACAGTATTATATGGGGTGGGGTATGTGTGCTGTGTTATACTGTTGTATGAAAAAGAGTAAATTCTTGCAAAAGATCAGACTGTAAAATGCAGACCTCTTCTTTTTCCTCAGTATTCAGAAATGTCTGGCAAAGAGTAGTTGATAAAGAGTTGCATGCTTTTATACCTAACTGCTAAGAGTACTTAGGGCCATTTATCATGATAGCAGCTGCCATTTGTTGTATACTTGATGAACGAAGTGCTGTGATAAATGCTATACATAACTTGCCCTCATCAGTTTTCAAACAACCATTTAATTTATCATATTCTTCCCAAGTTTCAGAAGAAACTGGGGCTGGAAGCTAAGTAACTTGCCCTAAGGGCAGCCCTCTTGTGAGTGGCAGAACCAGGATTTGAAGTTAGACCTTTCTAAATACCCACAACCACCATCACCACCACCACCACCACCACCACCACCACCACCACCACACCTGCCCCTTAGCTCTGGCTTTGAACACAGATTCATCCCTCTGCCACCGGTAATGGCTTCAGCAGCAGTTCTTAAAGCCTGACTTTTATCTCATTTTAAGCCTTTTTTGGTGTGTGTGTGTGTGTGTGTGTGTGTGTGTGTGTGTGTGTGTGTGTGTTTTTAACTTGTTCAGTATGTGTCACTTTGCAGATTTTGGAAACTTCCCTAATTGTAAATAAGGGCCTGTGGATGCACAACACCATGCATGTGCTACAGCCCAGAGTACGGATGTCTCTTTTTACCACTGAGAAGCCTCTCTTGCAGATCCTCTCACGGTTGGTGTGGTTTCCCACTGTGAGTGCCCAGGCACACTGGGCTGGCCCTTGGAGTCAGAGCTATGACTGTTGGACATGGCATTTTGTCTTTGAGGGCTGGGGTGGAGCCTGATCTGCAGGAGTCTTTTTGTAAGTCTACAGCTATTTCTGTCTGGCTTTTACTTTATTTCCAGGTTCTCTTGACACCTCCATATCCCAGATGGTAAAGAATGAAGGGAAAGGAGCAAAGAGAAAACCCTCTGAAGAAGAGGAGAATGGCAGTGAAGAGCTTGTGGAAAAGAAAGTTTGTAAAGGTTTTCAGACAGTTTGAAAACAAATGTATTAGACTTCATAATTTAAAGCAACCCAGAGCTCAGCTTTCTGATGATACTGCTTCCTCTCTGTGTCTGTATTTAAGAATTGGGTAGGGCTCCCTTTTTGCAGACAGACTCCTGAAGTTTACTCCTGCCTTCTCTCTCTTTACTTTCCATGGACATCTCTGCCTGTGACCCTGCCATGGGTCAGGTAGGAAACCTACAGTTGTTCCCAGGCTTAAACATCACAAAGTTTTCACTTATCCTTTCTAGTGATCAGGTAGCCTGCAGACCACCCATTTCTCTCAGATTCCCTGTCTTTGTTACAGCCTGATGATTGGCATTTTGATTCTGTGGTTAACTCAGTAGGCAACTTCCCTAAGAGGGAGCCCACGGCTGGGGAAAGCTATCGAAAATTGTAGTCAGATTTGTAATTTGTCACAGAGTGGGGGAAATGAAAAGTATCTATTAAAGAGAAATAGTAGTGGATTTATTCATTGTCCCATCTCCTTTGTTGTTTTGTTTTTTTGGGGTGTTTTTTTGTTTTATTTTTTTCGCCACAAAGCACCTTGAAGCTGCAAGGTGCACTTTGGAGGTATGTGAGAGGACCTACTTTGCTCTGCTGGTCTTCAGCCGAGTTTTCAGCACCCTAGCCTGAAGAGCTCTGCCCACCTGCAGCTGCTCTTCAGAAAGTGGTCGCTTTATTTGCATGGCCCTAGGCCTAAGGGTCAAAAGATGAGCTTTTTTCAATAGAAGGAGAGGTATCTGTGCCTCCCCTTTATCTTTTTCTCCCTCAGAGTAAAAGCAGCTGATCTTACCAGTGTTCAAATTCTTCACCAAGCCTCAGGCATGATAATAACATATTTTCACATATCCACCAGGACCTTGAGGATAAACTCTACTTGCATTTCTCTAGAGTAGGAATTTTTCTGCCCTCATTAAATTATTGACAAGATTAGATTTATTGGAACCTCTCCTCCCCCCATTCAAATGATAGTATATTTTTTAACTCTGATATTTTGCTTTAATACCTTAACTGGAGTTGTCCTGTACTAACTTGCTGTCAGCTGCCTGTCTCCTCTCCACTCTTTAGCCTTGCAGAGACCAGCTCTGACCAACAGTGGTCTAATTTCAGTTACAGACTTGTAGCGGGGAGATGCTTTGATGAGAAGAGCTTGTTTGCCTGTTAAGACTGCCGAGTAAAATAGCCAAGTTCCCTCCTGTTTGCTCTGGGACTAGGGCCTCTGGAGGGCAGGGCACAGTTTTGTATTGGCTTTTTGTTCTCTTTTCCTTAGACTCTTCAGTGATTTTTGGTTTGAAAGGCTACGTGGCTGAGCGGAAGGGCGAGCGGGAGGAGATGCAGGATGCCCACGTCATCCTGAATGACATCACGGAGGAGTGTAGGCCCCTATCATCCCTCATGTGAGTGTCCCTGCTTTGGCAAGCCTGGTGGAGCATAAAAGTCTCTGGACCAAGCTCTGATTTCAGTTTTGGACTTTGTCCACTTTGTATTTATTAGAAAGATTGAGACATAACACTTGAGCTGCTTGGTTCAACAGTAGGAATTCTCACCTCGGTTGATTTTAGCCCCCCTCCCTTTGACATTTTTGTTGTCACAGTGGAAGCTTATGCTATTGACATCTGGTGGGGGAGGCCCAGGATGCTGCTAATCCTACAATTCCCAAGGTCGCACCACAACAAAGAATCATGCGGCTCCAAATGTCAGTCATGCTGAAACCGAAAAGTCCTGCTAACTGGGAAGTGGCTCCACATTGGGGGGTCTTCAGGGTGTGTTCTCTTCTCCACAACCTGAAGAGCTGCTTACAGAGCCTTTTCTTGTTCTTGGTCCCAGAAGCTAGAGCTGGAGCCACTGAACACTACAGTGAAGGAGTGCTAGTGCAGCTAGTGAGGGCATCAGGAGAAGAAAAACAGGAAATTACCATATCTGTACAAATTCAATGAAGCCTTCTGGATAAGGTCTTGGGTGTGGTGGAAAAGCAACCCAAAAGTGAGATGTGGTGGTGGTCATTAACTAACATGTTTACATATTATTATAATAACATATATACCACCTAATTTCCATAATTACATAACTTTAGGATAAATTCATAAACTGATACCAGTCGGTTGTTAACATACAGTGTGCTGAAGCCATTGGTGCTAGTGGCTTTTGTCCAGTAGATGAGGAGGTGATGGCCCTATAAGGTCATCTGTGTATATATGCATGTTCTCATGCTCACCAGGATCAGAAGTGTACTGTGGAGCTGCTTTTAAAGCCAGGATACATACTTGTAGAGAGCCCTCAGGGAGCAAAGCCCTTGGTGGGAAACATTAACCCATACCTGATAGATAACCTGCTGTAAGAGTTTTGAGTTCTGTATCTGATAAAGTTTATTTTTCCTGTGGCTCATGATGTCCCAAGTGAAAAGATGTTGCAAAAATGTTTGGTAAAAGCAGCTCCTCAGTAAAAATGTTCTTTCTCATAAAGATCTTTTTTTTCTTTAAATCCTTTATAAATGCCATTTATTCCATGTATATGTAAGTTTTCTGGCAAGGGGAATAGGAATAAGTCTGGTGAGGTAGGCTTTAAGATTTAGATATCTGTCAAAGTTTGAGTAACAACCCTGAAACTACCCCCTGCCCTTACAGATATTTTTGATTCTTGGTCAGTAACTGTTTATCTGTGTCTTGGTGTTTAAAACCAAATCTAGTTTAAATAGGAAAAAATCCTGAATTTTAGTTTCACCTTCAGTGAAAAATCATGATTTTTAAAGCATATTTGTTTAATTTTGAAATACTATGAAATTTACTTATACATTTATCTCAGTGTCCACCTGTTTTCCATTCATGACGGTGTGACTAATATCTTACCGGTGGGACTTCCCTCTGTTGTGTCAAAGTTCACTGTTTGAAATAAGTTGGGAAAGCATTAATGGAGAGGAGTAATATTTGCTGTGGGAATCTCATTGACTCTCAATCCTTCTCCTAGTACCCGGGTTTCATATTTTGCCGTTTTTGATGGACATGGAGGAATTCGAGCTTCAAAATTTGCTGCACAGAATTTACATCAGAACTTAATCAGGAAATTTCCTAAAGGTGAGATAGAAATAAATCAGTTCATGTTCATCTTGGTGTTTGCTGTTTGTGTGACTCACTGAGATATTGTTTTAGCTTTTGCAAAAGTCATGGCAATTAAAAGAAGTGTCTCAGTGATTGCATATCAGCCCATGAACCAGGAGGTCACAGTTTGATTCCTGGTCAGGCACATGCCCAGGTTGTGACTCAAGCCCCAGTAGCGTGTGCAGGAGGCAATGATTTTCTTTCATCATTGATATTCTACCTTCTTTCTCCCCTTCCTCTCTGAAATCAATAACAATATATTTCAAAATAATAAATAAATAAGTAAAAGAGCAAGCCTGAGAGGAGTGGGCTCTAAGGTGAGCAGGTATACTTTGTAGAGCCCCTCATGTCTATGAGTGATGGGCCCCTCTCCTGGAATGTCTGTGGTACAAGTGTGTATCTTGCCTTTATACTTGGCAGTCTACTACCACCAGTGCAAGTGGCACTGTCCTGTAGGTGAGGAAATAGTTTTTATTTTTTAAAAAAAGTTTTTGTTGCCGAAACTGGTTTGGCTCAGTGGATAGAGCGTTGGCCTTTAGACTGAAAGGTCCTGGGTTCGATTCCAGTCAAGGGCATGTACCTTGGTTGCGGGCACATCCCGAGTAGGGGGTGTGCAAGAGGCAGCTGATCGATGATTCTCATCGATGTTTCTAACTCTATCCCTCTCCCCTCCTCTCTGTAAGAAATCAATAAAATATATTTTTAAAAAAAGTTTTTGTTGATTTCAGCGAGAGGAAGGATATGGGAGAGATAGAAACATAATTGATGAGAATCATTGATTGGTTACTTCCTGCACTCCCCCTGCTGGGGACCAATTCCTGGTCAAGGCACATGCAACCCAGGCCTCTGCCTTGACCGGGAATTGAAGCATGACCTCCTAGTTCATAGTCCAATGCTCAACCAGCTGTGCAGATTGTTCTTGTTTATAGTTCAGAAACAATTACAGTGGAAGGAGGGTAACCTTTCCTCCTTAAGAGTTTATCTTTTATTTTTTCTGTAATAGGAGATGTAATCAGTGTGGAGAAAACTGTGAAGAGATGCCTTTTGGACACTTTTAAGCATACTGATGAAGAGTTTCTTAAACAAGCTTCCAGTCAGTAAGTGAAACCACATGAAAACGAATGAATGGAGTGTGTGTGTATGTGTTCTTTTTCTGAATGCATTTCAGGTCTTCTGATTCTGTTTCATACTAACACTCACTGTCTGAAAAGTATCTGGCACCAAGTAAGTTCTTGCAATTGTTAAATAAATCTGAAACAGATAAAAAAGCAAGTATTAAGGAAACTCTTCATTTTAAAGTTTACACCACTTCCCATTCAAGTCTGGAAATTAGTTTTGAAGTGCTAGCATGTTGGTGGTGACTGTATTTCTGATGTCTTTCCCCCCAGGAAACCTGCCTGGAAAGATGGGTCCACTGCCACGTGTGTTCTGGCTGTAGACAACACTCTTTATATTGCCAACCTCGGAGATAGTCGGGTATGTGGCTCTGGAGCCACCCACTTAGCTCACACCATGTTCTGTGGGGAAGAGTGGCAGCAGGCGCTTATTGGCTAAGATTAAAAAGACGAAGGCTGGGTTGGAATGTCCTGTGTGATTGCTGCAGGGGCTCCAGTGCAGAGTGTAGATTCTGGGTGGGGAGCAACAGCTGAGCTTGCATCACTTTGACATCCTGCAGTAGACCTCTTCTGCTTTAAAACCCGAATACATTCTTTTTGTTTTCTATGTTTCCTTTTGTGTGTGTACTCTGTCAGGTAGCGCTATAAGTTGGAATTTAATTGGTGTGCAGTTACAAATATTATTTAACTTCCTATCTCTGACCACAGGCCCTTGCCTCTCAAAATCATTGTGACGTTAGAATAACTCAAAAGCTGCAGCTAGGAAAGTGCTAGGTGATGTGCCATTCATGCAAGGAGCCAGTTCACAAGGCTAAGGGAGAAAAGCCAGGCATTTCCACTGCCGACAGCCTGTGATGGGAAACAACTTAAAGCTAGAGGCTGGCCTTCTGCAAGGTGGGTTCAGCTCCCCCGCCTTCTGTCAGTAGCTTTTTCAGCCAGCCTCCGTGTCCGTGTTTCTTTGGAGTCCCAGTGACAGAGTGACTCTTCCCTCTATAAGCACCATCTGCAGACCTGAAGACAGCTGCCCCCAGCCCCTGTAGCTTTTGGGGTAATTTATTTTCTGAAGAAATAGACAGTAGGGATGCTACAGTGAACATTACACATGACAGTCTCTGCCTAGAGAGTTTATATCCTGGAGGTCTCTTAGTAGGCTATCTCCAGTACATAAGTGTTTTGACCAAGTGACTTATAATAGCATGATAAAACTGGACCAAGACAAAAAAAGGGGGGCCGGATTTGGAGTTAAATTTGAATCCTGTGTGTGACTTTAGACATGATACCTATCCTCCAGGCCTCGCTCCCTCCTCTGTAAAATCCAGGTTTATCTGGAAGTTATTACTTGGTAAATGTGGTGCTAGGTGTACATGGAGAAGCACTTGGTCAGCATGCCCAACTCTGCCCTCATCTTTGCCTCTTGTAGACTTGGGAACTAGTAACTGGGCCCAAAGAGGCCTTAGGTGCTTATTAATTGCCTCCTTTCCAAGTTACCCGTGAGAGGACAAGGATGAGGGCCCACTCTAGTCACCAACAGAGGCCCACACCGGGGCCTCTCTCCCTGGCTAGTGTTACTGTGACACTGCTTTGCCACATGGGCTCTGCTTTGAACTTGTGTTCATTGGCAGGAGGCTGACTGAAACTCCATGGTTGACTTTTATCTTCAACTGGTAACTCTGGGCACTGGGCTTCTGAATTTACCGCTGTTGTAATCTCCATCTTCCCAGGCAATCCTGTGTCGTTATAATGAGGAGAGTCAAAAACATGCAGCCTTAAGCCTCAGCAAGGAGCATAACCCAACCCAGTATGAAGAACGAATGAGAATACAGAAGGCTGGAGGAAACGTCAGGTAACCAGGGCCTGAGGGAACTCTAGGGAGGGAGGAATGGCCATGAGTCCTCCCAGGGGAGAACTTTCTTTGTCGTGCAGTCTTTAGTGTGATGATACTGAGGTCTGACCTGTGAGGTAGGTGAGTGAATGTTGTAGGATTTCACTATGTCCAAGTGGGAGCAAAATGTGTACAAGAAACATGCCTTTCTATATTTGCAAAGAGAGGAAACCTGCCTCAAATTCAGGGTCACCACTTGCAACAGTTCTCTGGTCCTAGAACTTTAATAAATACTACCATTTGTCACAACTGAATAAGTTAGTTTAGGGGAGTTCCTCAGAGAGAACAACTAAAGTATTTTGACAGAAAGTATAATATGTCAGGTCTCTGGGTTTCCTGGGGAGCAGCTCCCCTGGCCGGGGCGCTCTGCCCTGGTTCTGCCCACAGCACCTCCATTCATCTCCAAGGCTTCATTCTTTCTACACCTAATGAGGATTCCAATCCTGGGACATGGTGTTATGGATTTGACCAGAAGTGTTTTCTGATTCATTTTACTGTTTGACCATTCGTCTTACATTTTTGTTAGAGATAAGAGAGAAGTAACAGTGATATAAGGCTGCAATCACTTGTCCTTAACAAGTTTTACTCCAGGGTGATTCTAGCCAGCAGTGCAGAGAGGTCTGGAGAGGAGGCAGCACTCTACGAGTTGGTTCAAAATTGCTGGAATGTTAATAAGGGATGGCCTTGGTCATAGTGTGGCCATCTTAGCACTGATGGGACTGTGGGCATGGTTCTACCTTTGGGCAGTGGCATGTGCCCCATTTTCCCACCATGGCTGCTGCAGAAGTTAATGCTTGAGAATGTGACCCCAGTGTTAATGTCAGCATCATCTCTTCTGCCCTTACAACTTTAAAATTCTGCTTTGCCTGAACTCTTGGAAAGGCTTTTGACATTGACAATCCTATGGGTGGATGATCAGCTCTGTTGCAGGTTCTTCCTTTTTCCCAGTACCCATTCACTGTGAGCGGTGTGCAGATGCCTGAGAGAGCCCATTTGACAGTGTGCTCAAGGTGAACCCTGCACTTAAGAGGGTTCACCTTGGAGGCTCAGGTGGCAGTGACCTTGCTCCTCAGCAGCAGGGCTAGGCTGTGATCCCATCTGCCCGAGTTCAGGACTGGTGGGCATTTCTTTCCCTCTACCCTTCCCACTTTGATTATTAAAATGATGAAACATTTTATAAAATTAGAGTAAACATTTCAATGTCTACCATCTAGATTTAGTAATTAACATTTTGCCATATTTGCTTCATGTATGGGTATGCTAGGCAGAACTAACTGAAAGTTAGTAACAGACCTAACACTTAAAATAATTCTTTAGGTTACCTGTAGTTCTGTATTCATATTTCTCCAAGTTATCCCCAGAGTGTCTTGGTTTGAAAGCAGAGTCCAGCCAGCGCTCATGCTCACCTTGGATTCACATTGTTCAGTGTAGCATGGTCTCCACTCTTCCTCAACCAGTGGTTACATAGGGGCATGTTCAATGGCGTTGGTGGTATAGTGGTGAGCATAGCTGCCTTCCATAGGGGCATGTTCTGAGTTTGCCTGTGTTTTCATGGTATCATTTCAGTTGTTTGCATGTTTTTCCTAGAAACTAGAAATTAGGACTAAAGTCTTCTTTAGATTCAGATTAAACATTTTTAGAAAAATATTTGTTGGGGGGTGGCCTATATTTGATAATCTCTCACTTTAGTGGCCACGTAAGGTCACTGTTGCTGAGTTCCCAGCATTGGACTTTGGTGGTAACAAGTCCCCGCAGGGAAAGGGACAGGTTTCTGTGTGTGATCAGCAGGTGATCTGGGGAGATGGGCTTTGGCACCTTGGAAACATTCTGTTTTCATCAGTCTTTCATCTCATGGTGGTAGATCCCTTAGTGATTCTTGTCTGAATCAGTATTTCATAGGAATAACAAAGATGATTTCCTGCTCCTGGAATTCCTGGAATTAACAGGCATCCTACAAGGAGAGGCTTTCCTTCATCAGTAGGGTATGAATGAACCATACTTGCTTCCCAGAAAGCAGAATCAATGTTTAATTCTTTCATTATCAATTTGCAAAGTAGATGGCCACCTGCACTTATGGAAATTAGTGGAGTTTTCCCCTTATTTATTTTTTTTAATTGATGTTTAGAGACAGGGGGGAGGGTAGAGAAAAGAAAGTGATTTAACTTATTTATAAATTCATTGGTTGATTCTTTTTAAAAAATATATATATATTTTATTGAGTTTTTACAGAGAGGAAGAGAGGGATAGTTAGAAACATCGATGCGAGAAACATTGGTCAGCTGCCTCTTGCACGCCCCCTACTGGGGATGTGCCCGCAACCAAGGTACATGCCCTTGACCGGAATCGAACCTGGGACCTTTCAGTTCGCAGACCGACGCTCTATCCACTGAGCCAAACCGGTTTTGGCCATTGGTTGATTCTTATATGTGCCCTGATGGGATTGACACTGCAACCTTGGCCTAGCAGAATAATGCTGTAACCAACTGAGCAACCCAGCCAAGGCCTAATGGTTTTTCTTTTCTCTCTGCTTCTCTCCCTTTCTCTTTTCTCCTTGTTCTGAACCACCATTTGTCAGGGGTGTGCTTTCAGTGCTGATGCTAGTCATAGGGTCTTGAGGAGTTAGTTTCCTGGCCATATTACCCCCTATGTGGCCAGTGAAAGGGAGTGCTTTTGAGCTGACTCTTCCATTCATCTTTAAAACCTAGCTCCCTGTGCTGGGGACTCTTGTTTCACCTGGAATGTCGCTAATTCTAAGTCTGTAAAGCACTCTTTAGATGGTGAGTGAAGGCTGCTATTTGTTATTCAAATTTAACAATACAGGGCTTTCTCTTAACCTCTGTGACTCAGTAGTCATAAATCTGTCCTTTTTGCTGAAAATCTTGGTTCCTAATAACATTACATTCATTTGTAATATCACTATTACAAAGTTTGAGTTCCTTATAGTGTAGTTCTCTTGTCCTTGAACTGTTTCTCATGAAGGACATATTTGTAAAGCTAGAATAATTGCTTTAATTGCTTGTGTTACCACTTGGTCATTATGATCACTAGTTTCAATTTGTCTTAGATTTTAGGGCTTTTCACCCTATATTATAAGTCATTTATGTGGTGAAATTGAAACCTTGTGCACTGTTGTTGGAGATGTAAAATGGTGCAGCTGTGGTGGAAAACAGTATGAAGGTTTCTCTAATATTAAAAATAGAATTACCATGTGATCTAGCAATTCCACAAAATAATTGCAAGCAAGGATTTGGATTGGTGTGTGCACATCTATGTTTATAGTGTTAACGAAAAAACATTGAAACCTGTAAAGAATTTTTGTGAGTTTATTTGATCTGTCCTGGCGCCCACCACATTTGGTTGTGCCCCAGGGGCTTCAGAAAAAGGGAAGTTACAAGTTAACCAGACATCTCATAGATATGTTATCTTAGAGGTAATTAGGCAAATGGCCTCAGTAAAGATCAAAGTTGATCTTTGGGAAAATATCGGCTTAGGAAATGACTACCCACTATAACCTGTTTGTACTTAAAATATTTAATTTTCAAACCATCTTTAGTGGTTATTTTAGGTCTCTGGGTTTACAAGATTGCCACTCAGGCCTTCCCTGAGCTTGTCAGGTTAGCATGTGGCTCTTTTCTTTCACAATAATATTATTGACAACAGCCAGAGAGTGGAAGCAATCTTAGTGTCCATCAGTAGATGAAGCAATAAACAAATGTGGTCCATCCATGTAGTGGATACTATTCAGCCTTATAAAAAAAGGAGATCCTCTCACTGGCTACAGCATTCAGTGTACCTTGAGGACATGATGCTGAGTGAAATGAGCCATTCATAGAGCCAGGAAGTGAAATAGGGGTCACTAGAGGAAGAGTGAGTGTTCAACAGAGGTTCAATTTGAGAAGATGAAGAGAATTCTGGAGATGATGGTGATGATGGCTGCACAATAGTGTGTGTACTCAGGTAATGTCACTCAACTGTACATTAAAAATAGTTAAAGGTAAATCTTATTTTTTTGAATATTTTTATTCTAATTTAAAAAAACCCACATTTACATAGTTAAATAAAAAGGCTTATTATAGATTCTGTGCCTGTTCCCTTCACTCACAGTTGTGGATTCTCTCCAATGTTTCTTATAGAAAGAAGCAAATCTGTATACATGCTCTTATTTTTTCTACTTTCTACTACCAAAGGTAACATAATGTGTGCAACAATGTGTCACACCATCATGGTGGACTTCTCTGAGAAGGTGCAGTTTTATTTTTATTTTATGAGGAAGGCAACTGGACAGGACAGATGAGGCAGGCTTGCCTGTATAGCATTTAGATGTAAATATGCAGTACAGCCCTAACCGTTTTTGCTCAGTGGAGAGCATTACCCTTCGGACTGAATGGTCCCTGGGCTTTGAGTCCTGTCCTTGGCATGTTTCTTGGTTGTGAGCTCTATCCCCTGTAGGGGCCGTGCAGGAGGCAGCTGATACGTGTTTCTCTCATCAATGTCTCTAGCTCTATCCCTCTAAAAAAAAAAAAATCAATAAAAATATATTAAATAAACAAATATGCAGTGCATGTGTCTGGAACCAGGTAACATGTAGGTCTCTGATGTCAAAAAAAAGATATTCTGGAATCCACTTTCAGTTATCTCGTTAGCATCCATCATAGTAAGACGCAGGACTTGGGCACCTGGGTTAGAAGAGGATGCAAAAGCATCACTACCGACTGTGACCTGCTTTTGCTGATATGCTAGAGGAGCTGACGTTAGAGCAGTGTCCGCTTATCCTGGCCACCAGGGCAACCATCTCAGTGCCTCTCTCTCATTATGAAAGGGAAACCAGAAGAGAAAGGACCAGCAAAGATCACAGAGATCAGGGCTTCTGTCTGTATAACTAGCAGGAAAATAGTTGTTTGGCTGAGGAAGCATGAAGCTATGATTCATGGGCAAGTGGGAAAGAGATGGGAACTAACACAGTTCTGAGCAAAAGTGGGGAATGCGCCAGGGAAGGTGTTTCCAGGATTCATGGGTTGAGACCTAAGAGCCCCTCACTCCTCAGCACAGTGGTCTGGGGAACTCTGAGGGTAGTGAAAAAGCGTGTAGTTCTGATGAACTTGTCTGAGCATGGTCCAGCCCAGTGCCCAGATCATGACACTCGGTCTTCAAACGAGCTGTATTCATGATGTGGCAGAGGGGTGTCCACACCAGGAACGTGGCCACTTGGTCTCTGTAGAAGCACTTGGTTGGATTCTTATGCTTTGAGCTGCTTCCTTAATGGGACTCTCAGGGCTGAGGGACTCTCCTAACCCTCCTCTGTTCATCTTCACTTCTGCTCCTGTGTAGCTCGCCCCCTGCTGTTCACTCTAGTAATTGTATGGGGAGACTGCTTGACTTCTCTCAGGTGCCAGGTCAAGTCTATTGCTGATCACTCAGCTGTTCCCACTGGGAGGGTGACGGCCAGGCTGAACTCTGACTTTGAGGCAGTGGTCCGGGCCAGGAGAGGATGTTCTGCCATGTGCCTCCATTCACACAGTATCTCCAGGCCCAGCTTTGGTGTTTGCCGAGCGCTTACCTGCATCTTCTCCAGTGTGGTTTCTCCTCTGGCTGAATACATGAGGGTCTGAGGACCCCCCAGTAGCAACTGCCTGAGGTCACACAGTGGTAGCACCACCAGAATTGTTTTTGGGGGCCTTGAGTCAAGTACTGTTATTCCCTGTTTCATAGCATGTCCCACATATGGGTCACCTTACCATCTTTGTATCCTTTACCTAAAAATAGAATGGATAAAAGTGTAATGCTATACAATGTGTTACTGATTGATGTAAGTTAATCATACCCATACCTGATGGAAAGAAAAGGTGCTGCAGAGTCTGGGAATGGTCACTTTGAGTATTTTCCAAACCTAATTAGATTTAAATGCAAAATAGTCCTCTGTTCCACCTTTTCTTTACTTGCATGCATGCTCAAATCACCTAAGGAGCTTTAAGATAAACAGAAACACAAAGCCAAGTCCCTACTTAGTCCAGTTAAGTTCACTCCCAGCTTTGGGCAAAATAGACCATTGACCACATAAGTGCAGCCAGAGGGGGCACTGTTCCCTCTAATATGCAGCCTGGCTGAGGCACCAAGGGCCACAGAAATATTAATGACCTAGAGTAAGCATGTCAAACTCAAAGGCTAACACAGGCCAAATAAGGTTTAAGTTTATATGGGCTGCAAAAAAAAAACAAAAGCTTCAATTTTCATAGAAACATAGGTTTATTTCAATAGAGACATGCTGAATTCAAAGGACTGAAATAAATGAGTAATCGTTAACAAAATAATGAAACATTTTAATAAAAATATTTTTCCTTGAACATACTACCAGACACTGAATAACTGCACAAATTAATAAGTAATGCAAATAAACCTGTTTTTCTTTTTTTCCGAAAGTGAAATATTCCCTTTTGTAACACCAAACAAGTCAGTCCAAAACTAATGATGTGGCCATCGGCTGCTAAAATATTTGCTGCTAAAATATTTGCTGCTAGTATTAATGGAGAGAAATGTTGCATACTCATGTAAGGGAAATGAATGCAACACTATTATAGTAATTGGTCATTAGAACTTTGTGGTTCATTATTAATAATTATGTATAATAGGATATTGTAAAAATTAAATTACAAAATTTTTATTAAAAGGTTTCTTACCGTTATATTGGCTGGGTCGCAAAAATATTTGTTGTGGGCTGAGAATTTGGCATGCTTGCCCTACAGCAATGGAGACTCAGCTCATCTCCTGTGTATTATTGGAGGTCAGGAGATGATGCTGGAGTTTTGTTTGTTTCATATTTTTATTGATTTCAGAGGAAGGGAGAAAGAGAAATTTCAATGATGAGTCTTCTGCATACCCCCCTACTGGGGATTGAGCCTACAACCCAGGCCTGTGCCCTTGACTGGAATCAAACCCGGGAGCCTTAAGTCCACAGGCTGAGTCTCTATCCACTGAGCCAAACCGGCTAGGGCATGATGCTGTTTAATGTGACCTTTGCAGGCTACATCTTTCACTCTGTCCTTTTTTTCTGAGTTTATCAGATTGTAAGTACTGTGGCCTTACAATTTGGCAGATGGAGTCTGAATTGTTTTTCCTTTATTTAGGGACGGGCGTGTCTTAGGTGTGCTGGAGGTGTCCCGATCCATTGGGGATGGGCAGTACAAGCGCTGCGGGGTCACTTCTGTGCCAGACATCAGACGTTGCCAGCTGACCCCCAATGACAGGTAAAAGTGCCCGTTAGAGGCATGGGCATGCACACATGCGGTCTATCTATCCCCGACTCTTCTGGCTTGTAAGGAGCCGTATCTTGGGTACTGTGTTAGGCCCTGGAGGTGTAGAGAGATAAAATACAGTTCTACAGTTCTGCTCTAATGGGCTACACAGTCTGGTAGGGGGCACTCATGTCCTAGGAGTGTGGGCTGCTCTGGGAGCCTGGCAGTGGGGAATGGGGAGAGTCCCTGTTGGAGGAACAAGAGGGTTTTCTAGTAGATGAAACACACAACAAAGGCATTAAAATGGGACAGCGTGAAAGGGCGCCAGGCTGCTGCCAGTGACAGATTGATAGGTGAATGGTGGCAGGGGATGTGGGTGAAAGAGATGATGGGGACTGACTGAGTTTCATGCTGAGGAGTTTGAATTTTAGCTTCTCATGATGGAGGGTCATGGGCGATTTTTAGGCAGACCAAGCTAGGTTGAGAAAGACGGTCTGTTCAGTTGTCCATTGCCATTCTCAGCTACCTGGAGACGAGGCATCACACTGCCTGGCTGCCTGGTGGCAGGAAGCCCTAATTGTTGGGGTTTGGAGCAGGATGGAGCCCAGAGGCTCATTAGGATCTGGTGGTGGCCCTGGCTGATCTAAGGCAGTGGTGCAGCGGAGACTAGGGAAGAGCTCAGAACCAGGGGCTCACAGACTGAGTGATGAGGGAGGTGAGAAAGGCTCACTGATCAAGCTGCAGTCGTGGGGGTAGGAGCTCTTCTGGAGCATAGCTCTGAGCCCTGGTCCCAGCTGCAGGTGAGGAGCCCTACTTTGATCTTCCCTGCTCAGCCTCCCTGTTCTCCATGCCTGCCTTCAGCATGCCATGCTCTTGCTGACCCTAGGATGTGTTTCCACCAGCCCCTCTTCTGTTTTTCTGAGTGATGCCCCAGGAAAGTTTTGTCTGCCTGTCCTCAGACTAGGCCCCTGTGTGTGATATGCTGGCCCCCTCGTCTACGGCCATACCATCCTGAATGCGCCCGATCTCGTCTGATATGCTAGCCCCCTCCACTCTGGGTGGTTGTCACCTCACTGGAAGGGACAGGAGCCTTCTGGGACTTTTGCCCCACTAGGTGCTGGTAAATACCTGTTGAATGAATGCCCAGTCAAAAGGGGAGAACTAAGACCTGGGTATGACAGTGAGAAAAGAGAGGTGGGTAGAACCATGGGGAACATTCCTTGGTGCTTGGAAAACTAAAATCTTTATATCTGAGCCACCATTGTTCAGAGGGACTTTCTTGGGAAGCCCAGTGGATGGGGGTTTTTATAGGGAAATAATTCTGTTTCCAGACAGTGAAAGTGTGTGGTTGTCCTCCTGGAGCCTTGGACTCAGCATGGCTTCCAGGATGTTCCATTTAGGTCTAACCACTAGTTTTATATCTTCGGGAAATGGCTCAAGGCAGGTGTCAATAAAAGCTTTGTGTTTATTTACCGTAACAGCTGATGTTTTTATTCAGTGATACACCTTTTGCGTTTATATAAGAAAGTTCAGTATCTACCTAATATTTGAATTCATATTTGCAATATTGGTAAACAGAAGGCTTGTCCCATCTATAATTATTTTTATTTACTTACTTATTTATTTTTTTAATTAAATTGTTATCTGTGTACATATACCATTGCCCCCCCTCCCATTCATGCCCTCCCCAAAGTTTTGTGTCCATTGATTGTACTTATATACAATTATTTTTAAATAGTTTTAATCTTTGTCTCATAGAAGTCAAATTACTTTTTAAAAATTCTTAGCTTTTTTGTAGTTGGACAAATTGTTTCCTTTTCCTCTGTTACTGGCCATTTTATAGAGTTTGCTGTTAAAACCCATTTATATTTCTCCCCCGTATTGTAGGTTCATTTTGCTGGCCTGCGACGGCCTCTTCAAGGTCTTTACCCCAGAAGAAGCTGTGAACTTCATCTTGTCCTGCCTCGAGGTAAGAAATTGCACAAGGGAGTGAGTGCCAGTTATCCAGCTGTACCTTACTGACACCCATTTCTCTCCTTCATCCCCATTGTCAGGGATATCCTTTGTGTGCATTTTCAATGTCCGGGAGACTGGTTAGTTTGTCCTGCCTGCCCTGATGGAGACTGAGCTATTCTTTCTTATGGTGATGCTGTCTCAGGAGAGTGGTGGGGTGCAGGATTCTCCTATTCACCAGCCCCCTTTTCTGCCCGGTAGGATGAGAAGATCCAGAGCCGGGAAGGGAAGCCTGCTGTGGATGCACGCTACGAAGCAGCCTGCAATAGGCTGGCCAACAAGGCAGTGCAGCGGGGTTCGGCAGACAACGTCACGGTGATGTTGGTGCGGATAGGGCACTGAGGGTGCGGCGTGCCACTGGTTTCAAAGGTTCATGTGCGTGTGTGTGTACACATTATGTGTGTTTTGTGTACTCCTGCGGGATTCCCATGGTTGTAAATAAAAGTTTCTCTTTTTTTTCTAATCTTATCTCATTACATTTTGAGAAACTTGTGACCCTTCAGAGGCTAACAGACCCTTCTGTTTGCTTTTAAATATACTCTGGTCTTCTTGTTAGGACAGATGGGTCCCAACCCCCGGGCTAATGGAGCACTCCAGCTTCTTTCAGATTTCCGTACAAAAATAAGGTTACAGACATTTTGTACTTGATCCAGGCTTAGCCAGGACAGTAGACTGGTACACAAAGTTATCTATTCTAGAGTGGTGTGCCTCTGGTGAGCTCTCCGAAGCAGCATGGTGGTATAGCTTGTTTCTAATTCCTGTGAGAACAGCACAGTCTGGAGGAAGGGCTCTGGAGGACTGGCTTTACCAGGTCTCCCATCAAGATCCCCTGGGTGTGAAATGTACTTCCTGGATGGAGCGGTCAAGCTCCTGTGGAGTGTGGCTTCTGAGAGCCAACCGCATTGTAAGAATGTGCGTTCCGTGAGCTCTGCTGGGCTGAGTCCATCTTCCAGTAACACCTTACAGGGTGCCCTTCTGTCAAGGATGTTCAAAGGGAAAATGCATTCATGATCAGCCTACCAGGAAGATTAGGAAATACTTTTCAGGCTCTTATTTCTATATAAAACAAATCATCGGTATTGCTATAATTAATTTCTAATTTCTAGGAAGGCAGCTCTAAGGTCTTTTTGGGCAAATGCTTGCCTCAGGATGATGTAAGATTTTAAAAACTTGCCATTCAGGAAGCTGTTTTGTAATGTTCTCTGGCCTCTGCCCAGCATACACACATGGTCTTATCACCCATTCGGTTGGTGGGATTGGTGTCCCTGCTTACAAGTACCTCAGGCGAACATTTTGAGCACACCCTTCCCCAGAGAGTTACATGCCAGGTTCCATTGCTGCTGAGGAACTGGCATCATTGAAGGAAAAAACCTCAAAAGCTCAAATTGGGAAATTAATAATTTGTTCAATAAACATCCTCCTATAGCAAACTAATTCCCAGCCATCTCAGAGATGGAAGAGGCTTGCCACTGTGGCTTCCCTAGCAAGTCCCTTTCCCCACCTTCTTCATGGAGTTCAAGCCTCCTCCGCTGGGGTCATTCCCCACCTCACCTCAAAGAGGTCACTCCTCCCCATCCTCAGGGGACTTAGCCTAAAATGATTAAGATCCTATATTTTAAGGTCTATATTTTTATATTATCACATAACAATTCTTAGGTACTTAATTCATAAATTTAGTTATATAAATATATTTCATCTGGCAATACTAACAATAAATACTCTAATAAATGGCTATAATACTTAAGTGGAGAAAGTGAAAGAGATCTGTGGCTTTTTCAAGGGTAGAAGATAACTTTCCTAAAATATCTGTGGCTACACCAACCCTTATCAGAGAGAGAGGGACACAGGACACCAGGCCAGCTGGCACTTCTTAGTAGGGCGGGTCCTACTGAGAATTGTGCCTGTGCCAGACCTGGCAAGGGGTACAGGGTTTCATATTGGGAGCCAGCTGGGAGTGAGATGTTTACTTCTGTGTAGGCTCCTGGGGAAGTCATCCTTAGGCCAGCTAAGAGATTAAGCCATTATCCCCACAATATCCTCTGGTACCAGATTTCATGTGAGCCCATTGTGTGAATGGATGGGTGTTGGGATAACTTCAGAAGGATCACCTACTCTGGGACATTCTTGCTCCTTAGATGGAATGTACTGTAGGCTGACAACTATGTAGATGCTATCACTGCAGCAACAGCACGGGACTTGGTGGCACCCAGCCCTCTCAAGACCAGCTCTTTCTCCATATGGTCTCCATCTCCACCTGTCTGAGCTTGTAGCCTCTTCTCACCTAACTGGAGTGGATGCCTTGAAGAGCCCCAGAACCCATGGACCCTGCTATGCTGGGGTGGGGACCAAGGGCTGCTAGCTCCTGGGAAGCCTCTGTTCTGCCTGGTCAGGTGGGTGGGCAGGCCTTCAAGCATGTTCTCGTTCTTCCACATGGCTGGTGGATCCTAGCAGTGAGTCAGCCTCAGAAGGGATGGGAAAGGACCTTGTCTATGAAAAGATTTACTGCTCCTCTTTGATAAATCATCTGTCTGCAAGTTGAGCGTGCCCGTTAGCTTGTACATGTTAATAAGTGAAAGGAGCTCCTGGAAGCTGGGCCCAGACTCTCTGCTCTGCACCCCATTAGCCCTGTCCAGTGTCTGTCTGATGTCCAAGGCTGCTGCACCAAGGGGCCACAAAGAGAGTCAGATCCTGTGATCAGTACAGACCAAAGACAGGGTTGGGATGGAGCCCCAGGTGGAGATGGGCACAGTGAGAAGGCTGCTGCTAAATCCGGCCCTCCAGCAGCTCATGTACCCTAGGGGGCCCTGCACAGACTGCCTTGCCCCTCTACACAGGGCACCCCAGTAGGCAGGCCGGCCATTCCCCTGTGTCAGCATTCTCAACACTAAAAAAGATGGAAAGGGCGGGGCTTGGCCACAATGAAGAAGCTGAGGTTTTATTTATTTTTTAAATATATATATTTTTTTATTTCATAGAGGAAGAAAAAAGATCAGTGATGAGAAAGAACAATTGATTGGCTGGCTCCTGCATGTCCCACACTGGGAATCGAGCCCACACCTGGGCATGTGCCCATACCAGGAATGAAACTGACCTCCTGGTTCATGGGTTGATGCCCAACCACTGAGCCATGCAGGCCAGGTGGAGCTGAGATTTTAGTCAAGTCTATAGGCCAGCTGGGGGCCCCAGGCCTGGGTGCGCTGAACCCTGGTAAAGCTGGATCTTAAAGGCCTTTCTGGTTCTGGGCAGCAGGTTTGCTTGTCACCTCCCCAGGCTGCCTGGAGTGGCCGTCTCTGGGCTGAACTGCAAGGACCACTGTGGGCAGTTGGATGGACTTTCTCCTGCATGTGGCCTCTGTCACTCTTACACAGCCCAGAGATTGTTGGGACCCAGCTCAATACTGCTCAGATGCCAAGGAGGAGAGCGCTGAACTGGGAGCCGCCTTGCACAGTGACGAGGGAGCCGCTGGCGTTGTCCAGGAAGACAGAGGTGTACTGCCCCCTCTGTGAGAAGGGCAGATGAGAAGGGCAGAGTCAGTCTGGGCACTGGTAGCCACATGCCTCAAAACACAGCACCTCTGCCCCGTTCTAGTGCTTTCTTTGCAGCTCCATTGGTCCCTGTGCTTATGGACTCCTGTAGTTCACATGTATGAGAGGGAGCCTCTGCTCAAGGCCAGCAGGGGGTCAAGAGTCCAACAGGCTTCTATGCTGCATATGAAGCCTGTAAGGCTCTAACCTTGTGTATGAGGGTGGCCCCGTCCCATAGGCCTGGTGTTTGACCCGTTGGGCAGGGCTATCATGAGAATGATCAGTACTCTGGCATGGCTGCTCCAGGTGTCCACACACCAGTAGGATCCCATCCCCTGAGAACTCCCAGAACTATAGACATCAGGGACCCCTCTCCCCCTCCTGCATTTTAGGACTCCAGGTGCACCGTGAGCTGTTTGGCTTTTCCCACGTGTTTGGTGCCTGGGACCAGACCAGACCACTAAAAATGCCTTTCAGCAGCTGGGCCTCCAATCCTGGCTGCTGTGTGAGCTTGGGCAAGTTATTTAACCGTTCTGTGCTCTGTTCCCGTTTGTGAAATGGGAATAATAGTAATACCCACCTCAAAGTGCTGTGACAATGAAACGGGTCATTTTTGCAACGCATTTAGAATGCGGCCTGCATAGTGCTATTTAAATGTGAGCTGTTGTTCACACATCCACACTGACAGCTTTTCTTTTTTAGTGAATCTCACCTTTGCATCAATTCCTTGACTACATGCCCCAATCCTCAGTGCTAAAAAGAAAATAACTACATGACCTGCTTCCTGCAATGGCAGTGGGCTCAGGTGTCATGAGGGAGTCAGCCTGGGTTCTATCACTAGGAGCACCAGCCCTCAGTGTGAGACTTGGAAGGTGTCAATGCTGCTGCTGAGAGCCAGTGGCCCTGTGGGCAGAGTGAGATTCGGGAAAAGGAAACAGACATGGCCCAGCTTTGCCTGCACTAGTCTGAGGGCTCTGGCGGGGCCCCAGCCTCTCCCAGGCCTGGAGTTGGGGTGCTGCACCCAGAGCCCCTTAGTGCCCACCAGCACCCCTCCCTGCCAGGTCACTCTCATGGCGACAAACCAGGTGGTAAGCCCCTCCTTCACCTCCCCCCACGTGCCCAGCCCTGCCCCTGTACCTGCAGATACAGAATACCGTTCACGGAGATGGTGAAGAGCTCACTGCCGCTCTGCAGACCTATGACAGCCTCCAGGGATCTGTGGCCAAAGCAGAAAGAGGATCACCCAGAGCCTCCACCCCAGACCCTGCCAATGTTACTGACACAAGACCCAGCAAAGTGCCAAGGGGACAGCTATCTTGGATCTTCTGGTGGAGGCAATTTCTGAACGGGGCTCCCAAAAGGAGGCCAGTCTCCACAGGACCAGCTGTGCTGCAGGTGCCAGGAACGGCAAGCCCGGTGGAAGCTAGAGGCAGCTCTGTGAGGAACCCATTGCACTGGCTGCTGCAGCTTAGGTGCGAGGGCCGCAGTGCACCAGAAGGCCGGGCCAGGCCAGTGTGGAGGGCTTTCAAAACGAGAATCAGAAGTTTTGAACTTCATTTATTCCTGTCTTCAGCGATTGCCAGCATCTGCCTGAGTCTGGATCTGTTATGGGTGGGGGGACAGAGGGAGGAACCCCTGCCTTCAGGGACCATGTGCAGTTGGAAGGTGGGCATGGTCATGGCAGTGAAGGAAGTTTGCAGGAGCTGGTGGAGAGTTAATGAGGAAGGGTCACAGAAGGGTCCGGGAATGGTTGAGGTGAAGGGGTGTGCCCAGGAAGCCCAGTTAGCTCCTGCTGCTGGGATGAGAGCACTGGGGTCACCCAGGTTAGGGTGGCAGTGAGGATGGAGGAAAGGGTCCAGGTCCAGTGCCCCAAACTGCCTGCACTCCCCAACCCCACCCACGCGCCCACTCACTCACGTGTGATTCTGGCACTGGGACTCGATGCAGATGAGCAGGCGCAGGCGGTCCCGAGGGTGTCGCTGCTCTGGCTTCCTATGCTGAGGAAGGGCTTAGGAGAGGGAGAGAGTAGTCAGTGGATGGAGCCGAGGGTCTCTTCCCAGCCTCTCTTCCCCCCCCCCCCCACACACACACACACACTGGCACTAAGTCTCACCCACGTGCAGCGTGGCAGCAAGAGCATAGAAGCCCCCTACTGGTGCTCTGTACTGGCCGCTGGTCAGGTTCAGGCCCAGGCCACGAAAGAAAGCGCCCTCGGATTCAGGCTGTGGAGTGCAGACAGGGTCACCTGGGCCCACCACACCCTCTCCTTGCCCCCCTCCCCCCCCCCAGACCAGGACTCACCAGGTAGTAGCCACCAAGTTCATGCAGTGTGCGCCGCTCCACCGACAATTTCTGGCGCAGGTGGCAGTGGAAGGCGCCCCCCACGATCCGTGGGCTCGTGACCAGGGCCTCTGCCAGCTTATCCACGCTGTCCCCGTTCCCTGTTGCCTTCTCTGCATCATGTGAGGCAAGGCCCAGCAACATGCGCTCTCGCAGTGGCACATATTCTGGCACAGAGCAAGTGGAGGCTGAGCCCTCCTTTCCATGCCCCCCTCCCTCAAACCCCTCCCAGAGACTGCAGCCTGCCCGGCAGGCAGAAGCTTTGCCTCTTGACCCTGCCCCTGCTCCTGTTTCCCTTCACGCTGGCTACCCGGAAGCTTAGGGCAGATTCACACCCAGTGCCTTTTTCTCTGCCTTACCTCCTTATCCTACCCGCGTTTCCCCCTTCTGTTTATGGTTTTACTGTATCAGCGAATGCAATCATATCAACCAGCTCTGGTCAACTTTGGAAGGAAGCTGGGTATACATAAACATCATTGCAACTATACTGTAAATAACATGCAGTTCTTCAGCCTCTGAAACTGTATGTAACTGACCACTATATTGAATTAAAGTGGGGGAAAGGTCACTAGGTTCTTCATAATAAAGTTAAACTAGTAAATAATGTGAGCTACCCATTTCCCCCATCCACAGTGCAGGGACATCCCCCAGCCCCTTAGCTCAGCTCTGCTGTCTCCCTCTATGCCACTGGTCCTCAACCTTTCTAATGCCGCAAATACAGTTCCTCACGTGGTGACCCCAACCATAAAACTATTTTCGTTGCCACTATTAACGAATTATAATGTAAATATCTGTGTTTTCCGATGGTCTTAGGCTCTACAGCAGCGGTTCTCAACCTGTGGGTCATAGCAACGAAAATAATTTTATGGTTGAGGGTCACCACAACATGAGGAACTGTATTAAAGGGGCATGACATTATAAAGATTGAGAACCCCTACTCTATGCCTTTCATTTCAGCTGCCCAGCCTGGATCAGGTGGTGACCTGGTAATGCTAGCCCTGTGCTGCCCCTGTACATGGTCCTCCGGCCTCACCAGGCACCTCCCAAGGGGCTCTGCCAGCAGCTGAGATCTGTCGAGAAGGGGCAGAGGTGATGGAGGGGAAGAAGTTGGGGTTCGCAGTTGGGGCCTGTTGACTGGCTTGAGCCTTAAATCTTCCAGGTGTCACTGGGGGAATCAGAGGAGCACTGTGAAAGCTTAGAGAGCACCGGCCCCCTCCCTGACACTCCTCACTTGAGGGGGTATGGGTTCAGATCTCCTGGTCTTTCCTGGACTCACCTGACTTCCCAGGTTGGGTGTGGGTGCTGGTCCCAAGCACCTACTGGGCACCAAGTGATTAAGTCCACCTTCCTCTGCAGTGTCCTCCTTACCACACTCCCACTCCCAGCTCCTCACCCTGAGCCTGGCACAGTGCAGGGGCCTTATTGGGTGCTGCAGGCATGCTGAGGCCTAGCCTGATGGCTCCTCTGGGAGACCTCCCCCAGCCCCACTCACACCCAGGAGTATATCCCCACATGGTGTGCATCTACTACCTTCGATCAGCCGCCGGAGCTCCTTCACCAGTTCTGATGAGTTGACGGGCCTTGAGTCGTCCAGGAGGGCAAGGATTTGGGGGCATGACTGGAAGGGAAACTTGGCAGTGAAGACATCTGAATGGACAGGCTGTGAACTATGGGCACCTGCTCTGCAAATTCCTGCCACTAACAGGCAAAAGGGGCTCCCACTTTAAACTCTGACCTCTAAGGTCAGCCTCTGGGGTCTCAGACTGCTAAGAAGGCAGTAAGGTTACATGCTTTGAAAGCTGCCAGCCCAGGTCTATAGCAGGATGGAGGAGGGGAGCTGATGGGGCTGCTTGGCATTCCAGGGGTTCAGGGTAAATGGTAGAAGCAGGCCCCAGAGCCACCTGAGCCTCTGGCTGGATGCTTTCTGTGCTCTCTGACCCCAGGCCAAAGGTAAGAGTCTGCTTGATGAAGTGCTCAGGGTGTGTCATTGGGGGCCGTTGGGGGATGTAGTGGGCTGGGGGTTCATGGAGGGCCCACAACTGTAGGCTCCTCGCGCACACATCCTGGCTGGCCTTGCTCACCTCCAGCTTCCTGCCTTTGCTCTTCTTGGCCTTAGCATTGTTCCTGAGTAGAGCTTTCCAGGCCTCCCAACTGTCCAGGATGGCTGTTCTCTCGGTGGTGGACTCCTAGAAAGCATCAGGTTGGTTCCCACACCCTGTCCCTCACAGTCGATGTCCACCGAACAGACTAGACAGGACACTTTTCAGGAGGTCATATATAGGACTGGCCCTCAGGACACTTTTCAGGAGGTCATATATAGGACTGGCCCTTGACGCACAGCCCCTGGGGAGGACCACGGGGAATGGGCCACACCATGATCTGGACATTGTGGGAGAGGAAGACAGGTGCAGAGCTCTCCAGCCCGGCTGCACCACCCGGCAATCCAGCCTGGCTGCACCACCAGGCCTCTTCAGCTCCCTCCATCAGAGAGTTACCGGAAGGCTCCGACCACTGACACCCACAGGCGACTGATCATCTGGCCTCCCATCCCACCCCCATCTTCTGAAGTTCCAGGGAACCCGATTTCAGCTCTCAGTCCAGGGCAGTTAGGGGGTCTGGGCGGTCCAGCCACTGAGATGTCAGGATTTTAAGGCCTATATACAGGGCATGACACTGCCCATCCTCCTCAGGACTTACAGGACATTTGACCCGAGCAAGGACAGTGACCGGTCCAGAAATGTCCATTCCCCTGCCTACTGCATTCTGACCAGTCATGACAGGTAGGAAAGTTCTCAACAGGTACCTTCCAGGGAGAGGTCTGTAGCCCTTTGGACAGCAGGCCTCAGAGTATCTGGGCTCCAGGCAAGTCTGCCAGCTAGGATAGAAACTGGCCCAAGAGGGCTTAGATGAGGTCATGGGCACCGACTCCAGGGCCGATGGAAGGACCCAGCGTTTTAGAGCTGGTGAGGTCCTTTCATCCGAGACAGATATGGTGGTCTCTTATCCCTGGGCTTTCTTTAGGAACCACTGCTGTGGTGAGGATGTGGGGGCTTCTGTGGGAGGAGCCTCCAAGTGTCCAGGGCCTTGTCTCTCTCCAGCTTTCCCATGTCTTAGTGGTCGGTGGGCCCTGCGAGATGCCAACCTGCTGGCTGCTCACCGAACACAAGGATCTGTGATGCCACTTGCAGCCTCCAACTGCCCTCGGTAGAAACATGGCAGGATTCCACGAGGGCTGCGTGAGCATGCCGAGCTGGCCCTCCCAGCTGGTCCAGTGTCCTGTGTATGGACCAGACCGGACCCAATTTGGTGTGAGGAGAGCAGAGAGAGTTGGAGCCATGTTGGTCTGGAGACCTGGGAGATGGGCCATGGTGTGAGTGGGTGTCCAGCAGCTGCCCTGGCTGACGGAGGTTCCAGCCTCAGGGACTCTCAGAAAGGAGCTGGGGAATCTCTGGTGCCACCTTGACCCCCAAAAAGGGTCCAAGGCCAGAACCCTGCCTAGAAGCACCCCAGCTCCTTATCTGCTTCCTGGCAATGTATCCCCTGCCTCTCAAGGGAGTGGTTGACTGCCTGGGAGGGGTCTGCCTTCAATCCCTGGGAGTAGCTGAGGTGGAGACTGGATTTCAGGGAGCCAGAAGGGCTGGCTGCTTCCACAGGAAGGGGTGTCCTTGCTCTTGGTGGTCCCAAGTGTGATGCTGAGAGCAGAAGCTCAGGCCTGAGGCCACCACTGCTTCTCTATCCTTTGCAAGGCCGATAAGCATCTTGATAATGCAGAGACTCCAATCACCTTCCTGACTGAAACACCCCACCACATTGAGGGCTCTGCCAACACCTTCCTACCCATCCTGATTCCCCTCGCCCCAGCGGGGAGAGAAGGAGCAGGACAGAGCTAGGGGTGACTCCTGCCCATCCAGAAGTCACACCTCACTGGTGTGCAGCCCTCACACCTCCTTCCCCCAGACCTTCTCCCCGGGGGAAAAGTAGTTCCGTTTTTTACAGGGAATTTCGCCAAGTAGATTGGGGGGGTGGGGGGAAGATCAGCTCACGTTTCTTTCCAATCCCATGAACATCAAGTTATTTCCAGGTATTTCCCAAGTACCTTCTGACCCCAAATAAACGGCATATTCCCCTGGCCTAATAGAATGTTGCTTTCATGTCAACGAAAACTACCCAAAAGCCAAGGTCAAGGTTTTTATAATACCCAGCTGTGCAGAGGGGTGGCGTCCAGAACCCTTCTGCTCCCTGGATCCTGGCAAGCTTGGTCCCACATTAGAAAGGGGGACACCGGAAGTCAGTCAGGTCCCTGCTTGCGAGGCCCCGGGAGCTAGCGCCCTCCTCCCTTGGTGTGTCCCGGGCCTCAGAGAGGTGCGGCCTCCGGGTGGGGAAACTGAGGCTCGGAGGTGCGAGTCTTACCGGCCGGCGGGTGGTGGCACGCCTCAAGCGGACGCCCGCAGCATCGGCGGGCAGCGGCCTGCGGACGCGGCTTCCCGGGGGCGCAGCGGCATCCCGGGCCCCGAGGTCCGAGGCGGCAGCCGCGGTGACGGCCAGCAGGCCGGCGAAGCAGAGCAGCAGGTGGGCTCTGGCGGAGGCCATTGAGGCGGAGGGCACCTGCGGACCGAGCTCGGCGTCTCGGAATGAATCGCTCTCAGGCTCCGCGCCTTATAACAGGCTGGAAGCTTGAATCCCCCGCCTCACCCCGCCCACGTCGCTGCCCGGCGCCCCCTCCCGGCCGCGGCGTGCGCTGCAGCGGGAGTTTGGGAAGGAGCTGTGGGCAGCACCAGGAGGGAGCGTGGCCGAGGGCCTCCTGGGCTCCCGGGAGGCATCGGGAGCACTCCCTTGTGGTGCCCCCGCTCCAGGCTTCGGGGTCCCTCCCTGCGCACAGTCCGGCACTTCCTGCTTTGTGGAGCCCCTTCTCCCCATCTGGAACCCTTACTTTCGCCTGCCTCCTCCCAGGCCTGAGGCATTCTTCCTCCCAAGCGCCTCATTGGCAGGTTGAGCACGTGGAGTGGGAAGACACTTGGGCACCTTTCCCAGAAGGGCACTCTCCTTGCTGGAGTTGCCTTCTCCCCATGGCTGCGGTGCCCTAAGCACAGGGGTGCACGGTTTTCTCTCTCCTCCTTCCCTCTCTCCCTCTCTCCCTCCCTTCCCTGTCTCTATGTCTCTGTCTCTCTCTCTCTCCTCCTTCCTTTCCTTTTTCACTTAATTTTTTATTTTTATTTTATTTCTTTTAGAGAGAGAGCAAGAGAGAAACAATTTGTTGTTCCACTTATTTATGCATTCATTTGTTGATTTTTATTTTTATTATTATCTTTTAATATATTTTATTGATTTTACACAGAGAGGAATTGAGAGGGACAGAGAGTCAGAAACATCGATGAGAGAGAATCATCGATCAGCTGCCTCTTGCACACCCCCACTGTGGATGTGCCCGCAACCAAGGTACATGCCCTTGATGGGAATCGAACTCGCGACCCTTGAGTCTGCAGGCGGACGCTCTATCCACTGAGCCAAACCAGTCCCGGCCATTGATTGATTTTTAAAAAAATTGATTTCAGAAAGGAAGAGATAGAAACATCAATTATGAGAGAGAATCATTGACTGGTTGCCTTCTGCACGACCCCCATTGGGATCCAGCCCACAACCCAGGCATGTGTCCTGACCGGGAATCAAACCGTGATCTCTTGGTTCATAGGTCAACACTCAACCACTGAGCCACACCACCCGGCTCATTGGTTGCTTCTTGTATGTAGCCTATATTCAGGGATGGAATCTATAACCTAGTCCTATCAGGACTATGCTCTAACCAACCGAGCTAGCGCCGGGATGCCCAGTTCTTCTCAACTCACTCGGGAGCACCTGCAGGGACCTGGAAAGGTGGCACCCAGAGAGAATTAGTTGCCAGAGACAACTGCCCTGCACTGATGGGCATGAACAAGACTGGGCTTGGAGTCCTGAGCCCTATGGTGATTTAGCAGGGTGTAGGGACAGGCCCCACCAAGGACCAGGCTACCCTCTTCCCTCTGGATCAGTGCAGGACTCCCTGCTGGGCAAGTGAAGCAGACCCTCCAGCATAAACTCCAGGTCCATCCTTGAGAAGAGCAAGTCTCCCCTTCTCCCCCCCAGCCAACTTGGGCTCTTTGTTTCATTACATACTGTCCAGGTAAGAAATGTTGGGACCTGTAGAGAATTTTTATGAGTTTATTTGAGCCAAAATGATGAAAACTGCCAGAAAGATAAAATCTCAACAAATGGACAACAATGCACCAGAGAATGGCGGTTCTACAATTTATTTTATACATTAGAATCAAAGAAGGAGACGGAAGAGGGGTTGCATGAGATCCACTGGGGGTAGAATAAAGGGGCAGGAGAAAGTAAATTCTGAGAATCTCTGGGATTGGATAAGGAGTAAAACAGAGACACACACTTCTTCCGCATCGGTAGATCCAGGGTTGCTAACAACAGTTACAGCACACAGGGAAGAAAACACAATGAGGCATTTCGTGTCTCGTGCTCTGGTGCAGTAGGTATGCCCGAGGTGGTCTGGAAAAGATTACTCTGACATTACAAGGGTGTGTGACTTTAGATGAAAAAAAAAAAAAAAAAAATAGGCAGGCTCAGTGGATGTAAACATGGGCCTTTGTCAAGGAAGATGCTACAGGCCTAGGTTATGACCACTGCTATGACCCACTCTTAATTAGGAATTTTAATGTTCAGACTATCTGTTACTTTGGACTCTGAGTTTGTAGGGCCCACCATGCAGGTCTCCTCTAAAGTTTGTCAGGTTTAGTATGTAATCCCCTTTTCACCCACACTTCCTTCTTTAGGTCATAAATCAACCAAAAGGATGCACTGGTGACCAACCACTTGGTTGGATAATGTGTTCCCAGGGTGCTAGGAAGGCTCATTCCTAGGAAGTCTTAGTGTCACCATTTGTCTTGCTGAACAATGGACCCCTGGGGATGCGGCAAGACTATAAACTTGATGGAAGTCAACGCCAAAATTTTCTCAAAAGGGAAAGGCAAATAAATGGGAGGCAGTCAGGTGTTATGGGCCTTCATTAAGAGAAAAGCCCTCGTGCCCTAGCTGGTTTGGCCCAGTGAATAGAGCATCAGCCTGTCGACTGAAGGGTCCCAGGTTTTATTCTGGTCAAGGGCACATGCCCTGGTTGAGGGATTGATCCTCAGTAGGGAGTATGCAGGAGGCAGTCGATCAATGATTCTCTCTCATCATTGATGGTTCTCTCTTCCTCTCTGAAATCAAATATATATATATATATATATATATATATATATATATATATAATTTATTATTTTTTTAAAGATAAAGTCCTCATGCCCAGCCAGTATAGCTCAGTGGTTGAACATCGACTTATGAACCAAGAGGTCACTGGTTCAATTTCTAGTCAAGGCACATGCCTTGATTGTGGATTTGATCCCCAGTAGGGGGCATGCGGGAGGCAATCGATGATCTTTCTCATCGATGTTTCTATCTCTCGCTCTCCCTTCCTCTCTGAAATAATAAAAAGGTATTTAAAAAGAAAAAAAAATATATATATATATATACACAAGTCTTCTGGCCCTAGCCAGTTTGACTCAGTGGATAGAGTGCCAGCCTGTGGACCAAAGGGTTTGATTCTGGTCAAGGAGGAATCTGTAAGGGGGCTACATGTACCTTGGTTGCAGGCTCCTCCCTGGCCCAGGCCCTGGTCAGGGCTTGTGCAGGAGACAACCAGTCTATGTGTTTCTCTCACATTGATGTTGCTCTCTGTCTTTCCCTCTCACACTCTCTCTAAAAAATCAATGGAAAAATATCCGCGGGTAAAGATTAACAAAATAAAATTTTTAAAAAGAAGAAAAGAAACAAGCCATCTGGCTTTCTAACCTAAAAACTGTGATTTAAGTTTTGCTGCCATCTCACTTTCCTGTATTTTGCACCTAGTATAACATTTACTTAGAGTTTGAGGGCACACCATGCATCTCTTTTGTTTTTACAATACCATGAGATGGGTATTGTTGTTGTTCTTATTTTAATATGTCCTATCTACTTCCCATTGGAAGCACCCAACTGTCATTATCATTATTAATCTGATTCCTGCTAGTTGTACAATGGAGGACTGTAACTTTAAGGTTTAATCAGGGCCAAGGCTGTAAATTATTATTACCATCTAAAATTATGTAAATTATCATTACCATTTAAAATTTCCCAGAATCTAGGAAGACAGGAAGAGTTTCATATGTACATTTCCTGTGTCTTAGCAGCATTATAAAGGACCATGTTTTTATAACCACTTCAGCTTCCATATGAATTAATATAGCTAGTAATTTTTGTTGGGTTAGGGAGTAAGCATCTTCCCACAATTGGGTTCTAGCATTTGTCAATGTAAGAAAAATCCAAACCTGTGGATAATTTTTATGAGTCTATTTGAGCCAAACTAATGACAATTCGTGGGAAGTAAAATCTCAAGGGATTGAGAAAATGCTCCAGATAGTGGCAGTTTTGCACCTTGTTTTATAGATTACAATCAAAGGAGGAATCTGTAAGGAGGGCTACATGAAATCCAATGGTGATAGACTAGTGAGGGGGGAGAAGGCAAAACTAGTGGGGAAATCCCTGGGATTGGGTAATAAGGCAAAATGGAGGGCACATAGTTCTTTTACACTGGTGGGTACAGGATAGTTAGCTATCAACATTTATAGCACACGGAGATGGTATATTCGAGAATAAGATAACAATGAGGAATATGTGTCTCCTGCCCTGGTGGAGGTTATGCCTGAAGAGTCTGGAAAAGGAAATAACTCGGACATTTCAAATGTATGTCATCCTAGGTGCAAAAGACAACAGGTAGGCTCAGTTAAGGTAAAGATTGACTTCTAAAAAAAAAAAATCTATTTTTATTGACTTTGGAGGGAGAAGAAGGGAGAGGGGGAAACATCAATGTGATAGAGAAACATTGACAGGCTGCCTCCTGCACACTCCCCACCGGGCATGTGCCCTGAGGGGGAATCTAACTGGTGATCTTAGAAGGCTGTGTCCTGATGGGAAATTGAACTGGTGACCTTTTATTAATAGTTCATGGGGCAATGCTCAACTAACTGAGCCACACCAGCCAGGGTGATAGAGAATGACCTTCGTCAGAGAGGATACTGGCCTAGGACGTGACTACCTGCATGACTCCTTGCAATGACTCACCTTTGGTTAAGAAGGTTTTTTTGTTTTTTTAATCTTCACCCGAGGATATTTCTCCATTGATTTCTCAGAGAGAATGGAAAGGAGGGGGCAAACACAGAAAGAAATCATTTTAAAAATATATATTTTATTGATTTTTTTAAAAAAATATATATATTATTGATTTTTGTACAGAGAGGAAGGGAGAAAGATAGAGGGTTACAAACATCGATGAGAGAGAGTCATCGATCAGCTGTCTCTTGCACACCCCCTACTGGGGATATGCCCGCAACCAAGGTACATGCCCTTGACCGGAATCGAACCCGGGACCTTTAAGTCTGCAGGCCGATGCTCTATCCACAGAGCCAAACCGGTTTCAGCAAGAAATCATTTTTAGCCAAGACCGGTTTGGCTCAATGGATAGAGCG